CTGCTAGTAACACGTACTCTCTTCTAGGAGTTTGACATGATTTCTGGTCAGCCACCAGCAGTATAAAGCTGCAGCCGCAGGATGAGAGGAGCCCCGAGATAAGCTGTAGGGTGGTTTTGGGCCACTGTCGCTGAGCGGGCAAGACGTTCTGTTGAAAATTTAGGTGTGCTATAAATGACGCTCTGCGGAGGTGGTAGACGGAGTGTTCTCTTGAGTACTTACCCATTAGCTCAGAGAAGCAAAGGTGGAAGGAGGTGTAGTCTCTGGCTAGGTTTCTGTAGCTGCCTTTTGATTTTGCAGAAGAAGCCACCACGTGAGAATGATCACAAGCAGATTAGTAGCAGCTCCTCTGGAAGTCTTTCTCCAAATGCTACTGTTCAGAGTCCTAAACACGAGTGGAAAATCATTGCTTCAGAGAAAACTTCAAGTGAGTAACCGAGGCAGGGTTTGTCTAAAGATGCGTCCGGTGTTGTGTACCTCCCACCTCCCACTCCCTGGGGATTTCCTTCAGCAGCTGTAGGAATGCAGAAGGGCTTTTTCTTACCGATGATGCAAGTTAAGTAATCGGTGGGAGGTTCCTGAAGTAACCGGGGCCACAGGGGCATCACTCACCTCTCGGTTCCGTATGGGCAGGGCCGCCCCGATCCCGTGCGTGGGGGTGATTTCCCCAGAAAGCCCGAAGCAGGCAGGGCAGTCTCTAGTTAACGGAGCCGTTTGCTGCGTGCGTGCGTGCGTGCGAGGAGACTTTCTCCCGGTGCCTCTGGAGATTGCTGCCTTACGTCCTTTGAGCGCTCAATTCATAATCTAAAACTTGCAATTTCAGTAACTAGGCTAACGCTTGGAGCCCGTAACTAGAAAAAGTAATGTTTTCACACTTCCAAGGGGAGAAGCGTCATCAGAAGCCCCGAGTTGGCATCCAGTGAAGTTCCCCTGAAATATTGTTACATCGGTGGTCTCCTTTTCTCCCGGTGACAGGCAACACCTACCTGTGTCTCGCTGTGCTGGACGGGGTGCTGTGCGTGATATTCCTGCACGGCCGTAACAGCCCGCAGAGCTCCCCCGCGAGCACGCCGCGGCTGCTGAAGAGCCTGAGTTTCGAGCTTCAGCCCGACGACGTCGTAGAGAAGCCCATGTCTCCGATGCAGTACGCGCGCTCGGGGCTGGGCACCGCCGAGCTGCAGGGCAAGCTGATCGCGGCAGGTAAAGGGGAGGGCCCTGCCAGCAGTAAAGGGGACGGGGGCTGCCGCGGGGGAGCCGGCGGTTCTTCCGCGTCCAAACCTTTAGGAACAGGGATCTCACGCGGCCCTTTGCTTTCAGGCGGATATAACCGAGAGGAGTGCTTGCGCACGGTGGAATGCTACGATCCGCAGAAGGACACGTGGACTTTCCTCGCGCCCATGAGGACGCCGCGAGCTCGGTTCCAGATGGCGGTTTTAATGGTGGGTGGGGAGAGCAGGTGAACTGGGACGTCACGGCAGCGGAGGTGGGACAAACACACTTCGCACACAAATGCCGGACGTTTGGTGGACACGCAGATGCGGGACAAAATGGCTTGACAGACGATGGTAGCAGGAATTGCTTAACTGTGCCTACACCGTTACCCAAGCGCTGATGGTGTGAGTTGTCGTGTGCTTGGATGTGAAGCGGGTGTTTATTTTTATCCGTTTAGGGGCAGCTCTATGTTGTGGGTGGGTCAAACGGTCACTCGGATGACTTGAGCTGTGGAGAAATGTACGAGCCAGAAATAGATGACTGGACTCCTGTTCCGGAACTGAGAACCAATCGCTGCAACGCAGGTATCGCTTCTGCAGTCGATGGACCGCTCGGGGTTTTTGAAAGCTTATTCATTTATTACCTTACTTACTCTTCTTTCCTATAGGAGTATGTGCCCTGAATGGAAAACTGTACATCGTTGGTGGGTCAGATCCCTATGGGCAAAAGGGACTTAAGAATTGCGACGTGTTTGATCCTGTAACAAAATCTTGGACGAGCTGTGCTCCCCTTAATATCCGTAAGTTTGCTGTGTAGTCTGGGAGGGGGGGGCGGATAAAGGGTGATTGCAAAACTGCAAGGTTTAAGACCAAACCACACCAAAAAAAAAAAAAAAAAAAACCAAACCAAACCAAAAACCCAAAAACTCTATTAAATCTCAGCTGCTGTGTCACACTGCTAGCGCCCGACTCCTGGGCTGGGCTGTGACTCCTGGCGTTTGATTGCAGGGAGGCACCAGTCTGCGGTGTGCGAGCTGGGCGGGTATTTGTACATAATGGGAGGAGCGGAATCGTGGAACTGCCTGAACAGCGTGGAGCGTTACAACCCGGAGAACAACACTTGGACCCTGATGGCACCCATGAACGTGGCGCGGCGGGGAGCTGGCGTGGCCGTGCGTGACGGTAGGCTCCCGCGGGCTCCACGGGTGAGGCGTGTTAAGCAAGTAGAATCCAGGGCTGTGTTCCTTCTCGGGGAGGAAACAAGGCAGTAAGGCAGAGGCACAGCCAGGTTCTTTAATTAAAAGCTGTAACCAGAAAAACAAACCTGGTTGGTTTCGTTTTGGGGCATTTGCCCCCACCTCTTTCTTTTCAAAACATCCCCGGGGGCGGCTTCACCAGCCGCAGCAGTTTGAGTTTGGGCTTTGCATTTGGAAATAATTTCCAGTCAGTTCTAGTGAGAAGAGACCCGCCGCGGGTCACTGCTGTAAGGGCAGGCCAAGGTTTTTCTGGCTTGGGCCTCCCCAGGCAGGGGGCCGTGCCCGGCGCTTCGCCGCGAAGCATTCACTGTGTTGCCTTTCGGTAGGAAAACTCTTTGTGGGAGGCGGCTTCGACGGCTCCCACGCGGTGAGCTGCGTGGAGATGTACGACCCCGCCAGGAACGAGTGGAAGGTGATGGGGAGCATGACCACGCCGCGGAGCAACGCCGGGATTACGACGGTGGCAAACACTATTTACGCAGTTGGGGGATTTGATGGCAATGAATTCTTGAACACTGTGGAAGTCTACAATCCGGAGTCAAATGAATGGAGCCCCTACACAAAAATTTACAAGTTTTAAGTGAATTAAATTCCCTTTTCAAACTAACAGGCTTAGTGATGTAATTGTGTTTTAGTAGAGGTACACATATGAATAGGGTTGGGGAGGGCATAGACGTTGCCAACAGCAACACAGAGCTTTTGCATATTGCATATTAATGTGCTGTACATATTTGTTTTGGAAAGAATATGGAGATGAAGGGGGTTTTGTGTATTTTAGAACTTTGTTTTAGGGATTTTTTTTTTTTTTTTTTAAGATTCTGAAGATAATGCAAGAGAAATGAGACTGGGCATATCATTTCAGGAGCTTCCCCCAGTGTTTGCTTTGTCACTTTGCACATTCACTGACTTTTCCTGTAGGCTGTGTTCTTGGTGCAGGAAGGGTGAAGGTTGGGGGGGATCATTTTTTTTTTTTTTTTTTTTTTTCATCAGGCCTAGTTTTCCTTCAGTAACTGGAACAATCTGTAACAAGAAGCCTTATTTAAATAGATATAACGGCTATTTTTTTTATTAAAAAAGCTGACATGCCTGCCAATACCTTATCTTTTACGATTGCCTTTTTATAACGGTTTTTATATACTCAGCAGAGTATTTTATCTGTTGAAATGAAATGGCAGACACCTGGTGATGGAAGCAGAGCCAGCCTGGAGCCAGCAGGCCCCTGCTTTACCGCTGCAGCCGGAACCTGCTCTGCACCACCCTCCTGGGAGCCGCCGGGGGTTCCTGAACACGCAGAGCTGAGACTCGAGGACGGGAAAATGATTTTGGCTCCAGCTAGTTTGAGGAAAAAACGCGGAGGGTGCTTTCTGTACAGCAGTTTTGTTACTAGGGGTGAGCTAACCTTTGTAAAACAGAAACTTCAGTGTGGGGGTGTTCTCGTGGTTTTTAAACTCTTGCCCGTTGGCAATGACACTGTATTCATCTGATTAGTAACTGTCTTAAGTTTATTTTTCTAATATTCCAAGCTGCAAGCGTGATAGAACACGAATACGTTGATTTCATATGTATGTGCTCACAGTACTATGGTTGTTTGTTCACTTTCTCGATTCCTGCGGCTGAAATGTTGGTTAGGAGGACTTGGTGTCTAATGTGTAGCGCTGCACATCTAACCCCGGGTGCCAAACCCAGCACTGACCGCTCGCTGCTGCCGCAAACACATTAAAGGTACCTTTTGGGAAATCCTCGGGCCCCAGCCTGGCGCTGGTGTGTCTCTGTGTCCTTTTCTTTAACGAGGCAGGTTCCAACCAGAAGTTGGGGCTGTCGAAGTGAGACAGGTCAAAGGGCTGGAGAGAATGGAGGGAGGGGCCTGTGTTCCCCTCCTCGGGGAGCTTTACCTACTTCCAGGCTGCTCTCGGGCTCGGTTTCCTACAAGCTCTCTGCAAATGAAAGTGATGAGAAACGGGCCCTGGGAACTTGAAGAAAGTTCCTAAGGTCGGGGTAAAAAGAAATGTCCGAGAGTGGGGTAAGGAGCTCGAGCTGCTCCTGGAGCAGTGGGCCACAGCTTTAGGGAACGAAGCCGCCCCAGCACTGGCATTAAGTTCAGCTCCTGTCCCTGCTGTCTGAGCGGGTTATTTCATGTAAAAGGGGTGGGGAGGGGCAGGAGGAGGGCCACCCAGACCAAAGAAATTCGGTGATGATTCCCAGCTGTAAAGCTTGGGTGCATTTGAACAGGGAGAGTCACCCCAAAAGCGTAACAAAAGTGGGTGCGGGTTCAGAGCGACACACACAGTTGACCCAACTTCCCCGATTCAAGATAAAAAGTGCCAGTGTGCCTTGTTTGACCATAAAGCAGGTTGCCCCCAGCTGGAGTGGAAACGGCCTTTAAAACAAATTTGGCTCCGACAGTAACTCCAAGCCACTTCTCTGACTTTCAAGCGTCCGGGGGCAAGAACTGCATTAAATTTGCATCCACAGTCATTAGGCAAAGTGCAAGTAGAGCCAGCCATAAGCGACAGCCAGGTAGAATTAACAGCCGTTTACTGTAACAATAAATTATATTTTTACAATAAAGATCTTACAAATGCACATCTGGAAGTTAGTATCAAAATAAACACTTCTAGAACTTCGCCGGTCTTCTCGGCTCTGTACAAATACATACAAGGAAGAGGTAGCTTTAAAGGCCACAGCAGCACTGAGGGTGGCTTTTACAAAGTGGCTTAAAGCAGTTTTGGAAAAACAACCCCGGGGGGTGGGGTGGGGGGGCAGCAAGAGCTGGGCAGGGGGGAGAGCAGAGGTGGGGCAGCCCCCACTGAGGCAGCAGAGTTTTCCGAGCAGGTGCTGCTGTACAAGGATTAATTATTTGAACAAAGGCAAAACCTCCCTCTTCCCTGAAAAGAGGTCCGGGGGGAGGAGTTGTGTTTTGGTTTTCAAAGACTCCCCCTTCTTTCCCCATTCCGTAGCGTCCCTGAAGCCTGATACCGTTCATCACTATACGCCTTCCAGTCCTTCGTGTCTGCAGGGGGAGCATCGGGCTGCGCGTTCAGCCGCTTTCCTTCCAGCCCAGGGGTGTCACAACCGAAGTGACAAGAGGGCAAAACCCCTGAAGTATCAGCAAAACAAAGGCCTGACGTGGATTCTCCCACGCGACCACGAGCAGGCGGAGTTGTGTCTCACCCGAGACACGAAATTCCCTCAGCTTCCTCTCCTCGGCGGAAATTCTGACATTTCACGTGCGTGTGGAACTAGTTGGGTTGGGTTGGGTTGTTTGGTTTTTTCCTTCAACCCAAGCAGCACCATCGAGAGGAAGAAGGCAGCAGCTCGGCTCCTCGAGCGTCCCCCTCGCCCGCCCCCCGGGAGCAGCGCCGGCCTCACAGCCAGCCCCGGCTCCTGGCGCCCGCCTGGAGGGAGGCGCGGCCCTGCGCCAGCGCCTGCGCCAGCTGCGCCAGCTGGCAACACCCGACTTCCAACCGCTCCCTGGGGAAGAGAAGATACACAGGCTGTCAGGAGACCACCGACCCATTTTAGAGACAGGAATGTTTCCGTAGAGCCCTTTAAAACAAAATTCAAAGTGATTCTAATGCCACGCTTTATCGCCGTCAAAAGCAAAGAATACTCGGTGCCTCTGGAAATCCAGATGTATTTTTATCTCCATAGCAAGAGATCCCATTTATGACAGAGCTGGCTACTCCTTACATGTTCCCAGCTGCATCCTGCAGTGGGATCTTTCAAAAGGAACAGCCCAAGAGCCACAAAGCTGCCCGACGTTCGTTCAGTCTCCTCAACTCAAAACTGAGCCTTCAGATGTAAAACATTACTGGTTTTTACTGAATGCGTTTGAGCTGCAAATCAACTATACACTTCCTACAGGTTTATGTGCTGCAGATAGAAACAAGTTCTACCCACAAGTACAACCCGGTCAGAGACCAATTTTAGGCTTCTGGGATAATCCGACTCGAGGTGCGACTGGCTGCAGCACTTGTTCCCCTCACGCTTGCCCGATATCCGGAATTTTTCTGAGAATCTGCAGAGTGTCACCCATCAATCAGAGACACCATTTCGCAAGCGTGTGCTTGCACAAATTAAATACTGTTTGAATTAGCTACCCCCTAAGGGGACTTCAGGCCACATACTCAACATGGGACACCTGCACTCAGAAAAAAGTACCGTCAGAAACATTTTTTTGGGGAACAAAAAAGCCCCCTAAGCATGCGCTTCCAGTAACCACAGCGATTCCTGTTTTGGAACACATGGCAGGCTGGCAAACCCTGCTGGGTGTTTAAATAGCAGCCACTCTAGTTCGACACATAAAAAAACCCTTCCTAATTTCAATGTTCTTCTCAAAGAAAGCAAACCAAAGCTTCCATCCCGCAGAGTGCCTTAATAAACACTGGCAAAATGACCAGACCCGGGACGTCATTGCCTCATGTCTAGTTGCATAAAAATCTCGTGCAGGTGCTGAACCCCTGCAGATCCGCAGCACTTTTGTTTGCTCACGGAGTTTGACCACTCTCCCCTGAGCAGTTTGCCTTTTTCCCAGCTGCAAAATTGCCAAAAGGCCTGCTCTGGTTTGAGCTGGGAATTTAGACGGTAAAATTAGTTAAATGGCAAACGTAAAGAAAAAATAAATTAAAAAAAAATTCCTAATTTCTATACTTTAGCTTGAGCATTTTGCAAACAGATTTGTTATTGCACTTGGGGGGTGGGGGGGTAATCAACCACAGGTAAAGCCGCTGAATTCTAACAGTTTAAAAAAATGACCTCACGCGTACGTAAAAAATTGTTCTTTTAAACAATTAGCTCCAATCTTTCTGTTCTTGCCTGTATGAGCACGGCGTGCAAAGGAGGCAAACCCTCCCCGACACCGCCCTGGGGAAAAGGAGCCCACGCCTGGCCCCGAGCACCCGGCCCCCCTCCGGGCTGCTCCCACCCCGCGGCGCGGCGGGGAAAGCCACCGCGCCGCCCCTCAGCCGTCCCGCCTGCCGCGGCGTCGCCGGTGCTCCCAGCCAGACGTACCTTCCGAGGAGCGGCAGCTGCTACGAGTCATTTGTTGCTTCCTTGCTAGGAAGGGGGGGGGCTGCAAAGCTTGAAACCTGGTGTCCCGACTCAAAAAATACAACTTCATACGATTTTGAACTAAAAAGGGATCTGGCAGAAGACGAACCGCGTGGTTGGGATGTGTGTAATCAAAAAGGTGATTTCCGTAAAACCCAAGAAGGAGCAGTGGCTTTTGCTCTAGAGCTGCTAAACCCAAGGATTTTATACGACCACCTTAAACCAGCCAAACCACAGCTCAGTGAAAAGGCAGAGCCCCTTTTTACTTTTTACTGTATGATGTAAAGGCAGTTTTAAAAGCCAGTCGGCACTGAAGGGTCACTTACATCAGCTTTCTTGACAGAATCGGGATTTTGGAAGGTTCAATTCAAACCGCCTTTCACATATTTACATATAATGCATTTACACACAAAATAAGTCTCTTGCCTACACTGACTTAGACTTCTGTTTCAAAACAGGAATCTAAACCTGATTACATAGAAAACATCCTGTAACTCTGGTTTTCCAAAAGATACTTTCTCAAAAGACCATTGAAAAGGTCCTCCAAAAAAAAAGAGAAATAAACCAAGGTGAAGTTACACAAGTGCAGCCTGAGGGCTACCAGACCAGCCTCTGAAGGAATATTTTTTTTACTATGCTGAGCACAAATGTACACACATTATTATTTGCTCTATGTCTGTATTGATGCAAATCTATATCCAACAGCTAGATTTGTTAGTTGCTTTTTTCCCACTTGATCAACTTCTTTTTTATATATATATATATGTATGTATATATATATGTATGTATATATATGTATGTATATATATATGTATGTATATGTATGTATACACAAAAATGTATTTTTTAGTACAGCTCAAACTAAGGGACGTTTGTAAAAGGATATGCACCACACCCTCCCAGCATTTTTTGCTCTCAGAGGTAACAGAAGCTTGACAGATCAGCCCGACAGAGCAGGAGAAGAATTCTGTCACAAAAAGCAGTCTAACTGTAGAGCATTTCTCTGGCAATAACCTAAAGCACTGGCACAGCTACGCTGACAAAAGAACATCCATCCTCCTGATGAACGAGCCCCACTCATCAGCTACAAACCCGCTGGGACTCGGTTTCGACAGCGGCGAGCTGGGCAGCCCCGGGCAGGCGGCGGTAAGCACGCCGCGGGCGTACCCGGGCTGTCAGTCCCGTCTGCGCAGGGAACAAGAGCGAACGGCACAGCGCTGCGGCAGCACGAGTTATAAACCCTCCGCAGCAGTGGGTGCCTTCACAGTTTTCAAGAAAAGGTCTTAAAAACCAGCGCAGAAAAATATCTTGTTATATTTCGTTACCGTTATCTCCATTAAAATCTTCCCTACTTCCTTCTGGTGGCCACTGAGTAACACTTAACATGGTAAGCAGTACGATACCATGCACAGATTTTATACCCAGCGCAACAGGTTAATTCAAACGTGGTTGCTACAGTAACTGGAAATGATGTTAAAGCAGGTCAAGAGGGTTTCTCAAAACCACCCTGGTGCGCGCTGGCTCGGGGGCAGCTTCCAGGGCGAGGCGGGACGCCCGGCCGGCGAGGGGAGGCACGGGCGCCCGAGAGGGCTGTCAGGACATGGGGAAAGGGCCAAGGTTTGCAAAAGGTGCAGTGAGCTCCCGCCGGGGTGTCGGCCGGGCAGTCCTGCCCTCCCCGGCGCCCTCGCCCCCAGCCCCCGGGGCAGCTTTCTGCCAGGTGGATGCGCCGGGTGGCACGGCAAGGAGAGCCGTGGCAGAGACATGGGCAGCCTCCAAGGCCAGGCCTCCCCCAAACAAGCGTACTGCCCCAGCTCAGACAAGGTCAAGAAGCCGCCTGAACAATTCTTTCCACCACTTACCCTTTACACCAGTTTGTCAATTATTGATGCAAACCGTTCACCGCTCAACAGTGGAAATTCCAAAGCCTTAGAAAGTACCAGAGGGGTAACTAAGTCTTCACATTAGCTGCTTGCCATAAAAAAAAAACAACCTATCGTGACCCCTCTGAAACTCTTCTGGCAACCCGGCAGCCCCACCTGAAGGGGAAGGGAGGGAGGAAGACGCAAGCGCTTGAGTTTAACTTCCCCCAACCCACCCGACTCCTGTGGTGCAGCAGCGCAGGACGGCCGTGCGCTCCCACCATCCAGAAGGCAAAGCCCCCTTCCCTCCACCGGGAGGTGCAGCAGGCTGGGACGCTGGTCAGCCCACCTCCTCCGGCCCCAAGAGCCCCGGCTGCCGCAGCAACGGGCGGCCCGGCCGGCCCTTGGCCGCCTCTGCGCCATCCCCCCGCTTGTCCTGTCACTGGGCTTGGCTCCCGCCACGTCTCGGTCTCTACCGATATGAGGAGAGGGGACACGTGGAAGCAAGAGCGGGGCGGGGAGAGCCCCACCAAAAAAAGGAGAGGTCTTAGGGCAACGCTGCTCAGGGCTAGGAGAGGAAGAGAGTGGGATCTACCCGGCGACTGGCAGGCAAGTTCAGAAAAAAAATTTAAAAAAAAAAAAAAAGTCACAGAAGAGTTTCTGATGGAAAAAAAAAATATTTTGTGAATTTGTTGAAGATGCAAAAAATGGATCTCTGGAGCAGGGTCAGTCTTTTTGTCCTGTTTATATCCTAAAGATCTGCAGCCCAGACTTTGGCTGGCACCTTCTGAGTGCTGCTGTGACACCAAAGCCTCCAGTTCCACTTAGGGAGGAGAAAGCGGTGAGATTTGTGCACATAGCTTTGGCTATTTAGCTCCAAGTAGTCCTTGGTTCCTTCTCCAGATAAGGAGAAACCCTTTGGGTCAAAATTTCAAGACAAGAGCATCTTTGGTGTATCCTGAAAACGGCACTGTCAGAGCACAGATATTCTAGACAGGAACTTATCTCCCAAAGAATTCAGAGGCCAGGTTGAGGTAAAAACGTTCGCCGGTACTTGAAGCAAGGGGAAGCACTCTGTTCAGCATGTTTCTGTCAAAGCACAAGTAATTTGGCCTGCCCTAAAGCCGCCTCCTTTCCTGGGCCTTTGCTCTTAGAACATCTCCTTTTAATTGAGGTCTTTGAAAACCTCGTTTAGCATCACTGCTTTATCGGGTGGAGTCAGATTTTATTTCACCTCTGTAATAGCAAATAGTTTCATTGCTGCAATAACGGAGAACAACAATCAGACAGAAGTAGTACTCTGAAAATCTGTGGATTGAATTTCTAGCAACCAATCTTAATCTTTGCTTCCTTTGCTTTAATACATTTTCAAAGGTCGTAACTTACATGTAACACAAGTGTCACCTTCACCCTGTACCACTCACCCAGAAAATCAAAGTCCTGGTGAGAACGCTGGGTTTGGCCGTGAAATCGACTGTGGCACACACAGTTCACAACAACGGTCCGAGTTTTCAGGCTTTCTGATAAAATACAGACCTGGGGCTGTCTTTCAAATATCAGGGAACCCCCTGCTGCCCTCAGCACCACAGCCAGGGCTGTACCCACGCTGGAGGTTTTGTACAATGACGGAGACGTCCGCAAGTGTTTGAAAGGGTGAGAACTACAGAAGTGCTGCTCATCAGCTCCAGAGAGTTAAGCTTCTAAACTACTTTGTTCTACCGATATGTAGACTGAACCTCCCCCCCGACTCTGCCTAACTTTTCTCCCCTGCTCTAGCAATTTGCACTTTCAAATTCACAGAAGATTTAGGAAATCGGTGTCAATCCAGGCAAAGGAGAACAATTTGCCTACTCAGATTAAAATAACTCGCAAGCCTTTTACACAACTGATGGAACCATGCTTCCTATCCTGGCAAGTTATAGCTAATTCATTCCCATGTAACAGGAACATCAAGGAAAATATTTACCTGTCTTTTATTATCTCCTTAGGATTTATTAAAAAGAAATATTACGGCATTTTAAAAACCTCACAGAACCCGGATTTACAAACCCTCAATTACACAAATTCAGAAAGAAACCTTTTACGAGCCAGAAACGTCACTGGAAAGAACCTGCCTGACACTCATCTTTAGATTCATGTTTTCAAGGCCTTTAACTCAGCTGTACAACAGACCATTTCTTTTCCTGTCACTGAACTGTAAAAAAGCCTCCTAAAATGGAAACAAGTACTTGGAATCTTACATTTGTTTCTCCTTTTTTTCTAACTGTACTTACAACTGGCTTAGTAACATACAATGGCTTAATTTATGACTTTAATAACGATGGCCACAATGTAGCACAGCCACTGCAGCTAGGCCCACTTCCCATGGCACAGCTGGATCACCTGAACCGCCCTGAGAACCGCTGGGTTTTTCCCTCTGCTGATTTAAGCAAAGTTCCTATGATAACGAGTTCTGTTACAAGAAACACCTCAGCAAAGCAGAGCTTCAGCCGTCCTCAAATTCACTTAAATGCGGTCTCAGGCTCTAGCCTACCTTACAATGAATGCTGACCTCAGCTGGCCCTGCCACTAAGCCATGAATTCAAAACGGCAGAGGAAAGAGGGACCAGCATCTCACCTCAGACAGCTGAAAATCACTGTGGAGATACTAACGGCTCATCTCTAATTTAATTTCTGCCCTCTCTTACTCTGTTGTAACAGTAGGTCATTAAAAAAAACAAAAAAACAACCCAATAAACAACAACATCCCCGCTCATTTTCCCTCTGTCCCTCCTAGAGCAGTGATTTTTTTATTTAGCCAAACAATTTCTCTTATGGTACTTTGGTTAATACAGTACGTGCTAAAATGCTGTCTCAAAGCCCATCTGATGTGGTCAGGAATAGGCTTACCGATATATCTCTTGTGAAACACACTCATAAAGCTCCTCAGCAGTGAATTTTATACTGTTATTTATCTAAAACAAAGAACAAGGAATTAATGTTGTAATTTACCAAGTATCACATATCGATTCAAATGAGACAGTCGGTGTAACAGGTATGGTCAGTGTATTACCTGACAGGCTCTCAAGTTGAGGCTGTACATTTAAAAGTCACGCTATGGTATTATAAAATCAATGATTACAAATTAGCAATCATGACTGTATGCAATGGGAGCGATAGGTATCACCCCAGCTCCATTTTCTAACAATTTCCGCACAAATCTGAAAGACCTTAAATAATTCTTCCTCCCCTCTTAACTATCCCTATAGTTCTATAGCACATGAAGTTCTGACTAGCGTTAATTCCGTAAATATACGTACAGGCTCAAAAGCCAAATCTATTTTCCTATATAGGAGAGGACTGCAAACCTGAAATACGTAACATACCAAATGGAAACATAACCTCGATTCTACTGCAAACATTCATTTCGATTTCTCTTCTTAAAATCTTTCAGCACAAATTAATTAAAACTGCATTAGTTAAAATGTTCAATAATTTAATTTTATCTTTTTTTTTTTTTTTTTTTCTCCAAACTGCCACCAATATTCTTCACAGAACTACCTCAAATGCAGTGTACTCTCTTCTTAAAGCGACTGGGTTAGGGATGTTTTGGTGACTTCAGTTTCCAGGCTTTTGACTCTCAACCGTGAGTCATTCACAAGCAGCGAGCGCTCAGAAAGTCACGCAAGCCACTCAGATGCCAGGAGAGATCTGAATAACTTCTGGTAGGTGCCAACCAAAAATAGATTTTTCTGTCTAATGCCTAATAAATAAGGGCAAGTCTTCAAAATCTAACTTAGTGGAAACGCAATGATGAGACAGCTAACCTCATAACTACTTTAAATAAAAAACTGTAGCTGAAGGGTATCTGACAAAACAGTAAAGAAAACTTCATACCTCGTTGCTTATGAGGAAGTTATAGAGGGTCCAAATATCTTGGAAACTACTGGTTGGGGTCAAAATTCTGAAAAAGAAAAGTTTTGAGATTCTTTTAAGCAAGTATAAAAGGATTCTATGGAAGAGTCAAAAAACAGTCATAAATGCTTTATGAAAAAAAAAAATCTAATTGATTTCTTTAAACAAAAAGAAAATTCTAATCTTTGAAGAATTTTCCCTTCCATCCCTTTCTACTCCTCTAAAAGAATTAAACGAGCTTATTATTTCTGTCAGGACCTTCTGTGAAGGTTTTTCCTAATTAAAAATTCAACTGATGTTTTCATGAGCAATTTCTGCATATAGATGGGAAGAAAACCAGCAGTAATTAAAAGCCTTTTGTTCCACATAAGCAAAGACCACTGTACTAATGGGGAGCAACAGCAAAGTGACACGCAACACAAAACTTTCCCACACCAGCTAAAGCTTTACCTCATTCCCGCCAGTATTCTACCGCACAGCTCAAATGCGACAGCTTACGCACCATTTCTGTTACTTCTAATAATAACTGATTCCCAGCCGATACTGAGAAGTGAAAATGGGATTTGACAGCTGGAGAGAGGTGTCTTTATGAAGAACCTACTATCCTGGGAAGTACTGGTGGTTTATTTAGCCACGAGTGCACGCAGCAGCCTGCGACATTTCAGGCTCTCCCCAGACCCAGTCGCCACCGGCGGAAGAGAAGCCCCGGCCTCGGCCGCCCCGTCGGCTCTTGCGACGTTCTGAGGTGTCCACCCTCTTCCACGAGGCTCCAAAAACGATCCAACAAGAAAGTGATTCTCTCAAAAATTAATTCTCCTGGCCTACTTCGGCAGATATAATGCGGTTACACCCCAGTGTAGCTCCATTTGCATTCGCCAGGAAAAGGCAGAACCCTCTTAAAACGTTACAAAATGTACATGAAAAACCACGTAACACTCTACATATATTAAGAAATACTGATAAAATTCTGCCTTTTGTTAACTTTCAAAGATGTAAGTAACGATTAAGAAAATGACAGGATTTGGGGGGGGGAAAAAAAAAAAAAAAGAAAAAAAAAATCTTCTTTTTGGGAAGCTGTATTTACTTTCCCATGGGAAAGTGCCCAAATTCTCTCCTCCCTCCCTTTGCAAGCTGTAAGCCTTTATAAATGAATTAATTAGGAATTGAAAAAAAAAAAAAAAAAAAAAAACAGAAAACTAACAGAATAAGTGAAAAATCCCAGTTAAAGACAACACTGTGTTTTAAAGAGGCTGGAAGACCATGACACACCACAGGATTTATCGTAACTAGTAAGTCCACCGCTTATTTTCATCATGATTTTACATGGGAATTATCACCGTTACAAAAATTAGTCACACATTCTTTCCCTCTTCATAAGAACGTCCACCCAGAATTTTTCTCTTAAACTAAACCACACTTAACCTGCCAACTAAAAGTCAGCAAGAGAACCAACTGGCTCGCCCTCCTAAAAATACCTCAAAGCCTTCACCCGCCACCTCAGTGAGCAAGCTCTCAGCTTTGCCAGCGCCAAGCCCCGGCAGAGACAAGTTGGCAAACGTCCTTGGAAACGCCGGGAAATCTCGGCGGCTCGGCCGGCACCGCAGGCCAGGTTCCCCCTGCCCGGCTCCCGGCAGCCTCCGGCCAATCCATCAGCTTTAGCTGTCGCCACGGGTCAGCTGCGACAGCAAGAAGTGAGTACGCTCGAGCCTGGGAAAGGGCGATTCCCACCGCCGGTGACTTTCGTACCACTCTGCCGTCTGCTTCATGCCAACAGGAGGAAAGCTCGCCCGTTCGCGTTCGTAAAACTGAGTGCAGAACCGGACAAAATGGAAGAGGTAAGCTACAACAACTTCCCCGGCAGGCCATGACATGTTGCCACGCAGTATGCTGGGGCAAAACGTGCCCACCACTGTTCTTCCCCGCCGTGCCAAGGACAGGGACGCCAGGGCGACGAGGATGACTGCTGCCCCGGCTGAGGTGCCTCCTTCCCCTTCCACAGGAAGGATGGAGGAGCGGGGAAAGGGCGGCTGGTGAGAGAAAGACCTGTATTAATTACAGGCTTCCGGATTTTGTGGAAGAAAAATGGATGTCCGAGCCACGAAAAGGTGAAGGAAGAGATGAGAGCAGAGCGGAAGGCAGGATGAGGCGGCGCTGCCTCTCCCTCCGACCCTGCGGCATCCCCGCGTGGCTGTTTCTGCCCGCCAGGCTTCACACTTCCTGGGGCACAGAAGTGGCTACAAACTTCAAGTTTCACTCCGTCGTCCTTAGCCAGGCTACCTTTAAAGAAAACCAGTTTGGAAGTAATTTTTGCAGCAATATTAGACTGGAATTCCAAGGTCATTTTTAGCCCCCTGGTTTTGCATAGGCCTTTAATTCTACCGTGAGCACAAAAGCAGCCAACACGCCTCCCACATCTCCCCTCACAAATTTGCCGCCCCTGAAAGCAGCAGCATCACACACGCTGTACTTGACCTTTTCTCACAGAAGGGAGCACTTTTCTACGATTACTAGAGAAAGTAAAGCATTTGTTTATTAACATTTCTGAATCTTGACACAAGTTAGGACGCCGCAGACTTAAAAATTATTCCACTGATGTTTCCCAGACTATGCAGTCTGTGCCCTCAACGCGGGTAACCCTCACCACTCATTGTAGTATTTTCTCATGAAGACGTAAAATTGAAAAACATACTTATTATTTTTGTACTGCTGACCAAAGCATACTAGCAAACTGCTAACTTTTATCGTTTCAGCTCACCGTAAGTTACCGGACCCCAGGTGGATGTACAAACTGGCTGTGCTTCCAGTTCCTTGGAAAAAACTAGAAGTGAGATGTGCATATAAGTAACTTAACCTTAAATCCTGTAACTTATTTTATAGCGTTTGCTTGTATTATGATAAGAATTGCTTCTGAGTTTACAACATACACTGAGAAGTCTGACATTTGGCTCAAAGCATTACAGTATCTTCAAATAAAAGACATTTGTTGTTTTCAAGGAAGAAGCACTGCTGCACACGGAGTACTGCACTGAAAAGAAGTTGGTAAGAGAAGAGCTCGCACCAAAACTTCCCCCACAAATTCTGAACGGGTCAGCATTCATAAAACACGCTTGTTGTCGTTTTCAAATAAATGGGAACCGGAATACAAGCTCCAGTCTTGGAATATATTTTCCTGTAGAAAACTGTAAAACATTTCTGTCTGCAGGGTAATGATTTCACACCGCCACTGCTGTCTACTGGTTTTAAGCATTCTGTGTTCTTTCCACCTCCTGCAGCCACCATTCCGTGTTACAGAAGTTTTCAGAGAAGATGTACATTGGGACATCTGGGCATGTTTGTGTGCACACTGACTCGGCATCTGTTACTTCATTAAATGAAGTTGATCTTGTTTTCATCAAAGTTTCTCAGTGAAAAGAAGTCTGTCGCAGCTGTAGAACCACGTCTGGAGAACACCCTCTAAATTAGGCATATATGAAGCAAACAGGCTCTTGTGTAAAACTCTTCTCATAAGCAACCTGAAGCTCAGTCTTGCGACCACTGCAGTATTAACCGCTGCTTTTTCTTCTCTTTCAACATGACATCAAGCGTATTTCAAAAGCAGAGGGTGGAAATCCACTGAATCACTCTGCCTTTCCTCTCAGCACCGCCACGCAAAACCAAACGACAAATGATCCCCATGTTATGTACTTCAGCTTTTAATTATTCTGAACATCATGCTCTGAGCAGGTGCTGGCTAGGGTGCTGGGTGACACAAAAGCTGGATTGCCTCTAAAATGCAGTTTGTTGATCAAGCTAAAAACTGCAGCATGGTTCTATGCACTTTTCTCAAAATATTTAGTACATGAGGTAGAGAAGAGTGTGAGTCAGACACGAAAAGCGACTATGGGTACCACCTACAAAACAGAGGCTAAATAGTGTTCTTGGGGCAAAAGGGAGAAAGGAGAAAGTCAGACTTAATGATTTCTATCTCATAAGCAAAAGGGCTTCCCAAACCACTCAGAAAGCTTCTTTACCTACTGTCCTGTCACTCATCTGATGCCAAGCGCATCGGAGATATGATAATCAAAAAAAGGAAACAGATAGGAGATGGCTCATGACTGTGGCTCCTCACTTGTGCACAGAGAAGACCTGGGAGAGAAGGCAGGCCTATTTGGTAAGGATCAGAAAATTAACTTACCAAATAGAAGGAAAAAAAACAACCCAGGAGACAACCTGGCAGCGAAAGCGGGTCAGCCTGCTAGTGGCTCACAAACACTAAAATCCTGGACAATGACAAGTAAAGGATATGGATAAAAGTTGTATGAGGCTACGTGGTAATCACTCTCAAACCCGGCCAAACCTCTGTACCCCTGTATTTGTCACGCTGAGCCATTCCTCTTTAACAGTTCTACACCATCGCCCGTGGCGCAAGACCGGTAAGACCGTCATAAAGCAATAACCAATTCAATAAATTTGTGCAGTTAACCAAAAAGGCATGTGACTTAATTGTATAAAAGTCAACTTAACCCATTAAAAGCCCCATTTATCCTCTCTGTCAGAATATCAGGGAAGCAAAAAAGACGAGAAACGGAAAACCAAAACTTCTATGCGGCTTATGAACAATTCCTCATTACGCTACACCACAGTAAGGGACTCAAACTGGTGTTACAATGATCAACACACGCCACAGTTTTGTTCAGCATCAACCTATTGGGAAATGAAGGGGATTTTTTCCAAAACAAAGTCAAGCTCACGCCGCCTTCTATTGTGGAAGTACTTTAGATGTCAGATCCTAGTGCCACTTTGTCTAGACACCTATTCTCTAGCTTTACAAGGTCAGAAAGGATCATGGATTTTACAACTCTACCTCATTTATTCAGACTTTTCTGCTTTTTAGACTGCTTTAAAGGCAACAAGGCTTAGGCAGCTGCCACAGCATCACCTCTGCCCTGCACCTTATTAAGCGCTGGCCCATTTCGGCTGTATTTGATGGAGGCAGAGGCCTTGAAACTTTTTAATTTCGTACAGCTCTCATTAAAATAGGCAGAAGGGTAAAGGACAAATGTGGACCCTGGCGGCAGATAAGGCTGTAGCCAAGTTCAAATGTAACAGGAGACGGCCAAGCCTCCATCTGGGAAACGTTAGAACTAGAACAACTTCTGTCAGATACTGCACGTTTCCGACTCTATTGGACGTGATAATTAAACTAAAGGATACAATGCTCCAGAGAGACTTGCCCAGCCGATGGGCAGCGCCGCCGGCCACCACGCGAAGCGAGAGGGACCCGTGGCCCGTAATGCTGAAATGCGGCACCGCCAACACCCACCTCTCACGCCCTGTAAATCCTGTTCACCTTGCAAACCCCCACAAAGCCCAGCGCTCCAAGGCTGCACAATTGAAATGTAACCGTTCTCCTTCAGGGGGTCAAGCACATTTCAGGTTTCACCAAAATAAAGTTTTTTAAATAAAATATATATATCAAACAACTAGAGATGGGAAAGTCTGACGCTTTTATTTCCAGAAAGAGACTGCACGGGGAGGGGGGGGTCGGGAAATTAAAAGTAGAGCTCAATCTAGAGACTTTACGATAGAAATTTCTAAATGCCATGGTAGTATAAGGGAAGGAAGACAATTTTCTTAACCAGACACCAAGAAAAAGCAATCTCAATTCCTCCACTGACCAGCTGAATAAACAAAGAAGAATCAGTTTCTCTACATCTACAGAATTCTGGTTTTAAATTAGTAAAACTGTAGGGATGGTTTTAAACTATTTAATCTCAAATATTAAATTCAGTGATCAGTTTTAGAAAGGCCGAGCAACCTAGGCAAAATGAGCCTCTCGCTTTTGAAAACCTCAGACTTTTTGTTTTAATACCCTGTAAAAACCATAAACCTACAGTGATTCATAAATATGGCTTCTGACTCTTTGGAAAACCTACTTGGAAATCTCAAACTAACTTAAATACCTACACTCAAGACTAACAGAGAAGACACATTAGTCTCTCATAATTTCTTGCTTCACAATGCCCCCTACTGCAAATCTGCAGAACAGACTCTGAGCAGGCATTTCTGAATGCAACCAGATGCAACAGGGAAATTACTCTACTCGGAGAAGCATCCTGGATGCATGAATAGTGTCTCTCCATTTAGTGGCAGGAAAGAAAATTTTAAAAAGTACAAAAGGAATTTTTAAAGCCATTTTATCAAAGGTATTGAGTGTCGCAGGAATCACGGGGAACAGAGAAGAGCCTCTCCGTTTCAAATAAAGTCAAATAACAGAATCCTGTTTATCTTTGCTCCAGATATTCCAACGGCTCTGATGAAGAAAGTATATCTTTTGTGAAAAAGATTTCTCTGATACACGGTTAGACCTGCGTATTTTTACACAGTCCTCTCAAAGGGAAATATGGGAGGTAAGTAGTTTTCAGTAAAAGAACTACAAAATGTCTTTTGTTATCGCCACACAAGGTTTTAATGAAACACCTCTGTAACACAGAAGTAATGATCTTGAAGCACCATATTCCCATGATATCTCATCTACCGCATATATAAACGGATACCACAGGATTTCTTGCAAAAACTTTAGGACTGGAATTAAAAGAATCAAGTTTAGCGGTAACCTGCTTTAATAAACAATTTCTTTGGACAAAAAGAAAACAACCAGCAATGAAGATGAATCAATTACTATCAAGCTGCTCTAGCTCCCATTTCCACCCGTATTTTTCTTTTTCTACTTTCATAACATTTAGTCCATTTATCTTTGAAAGACAACAATTCTTTGAATGGATTTATCCCACTATTAGTGTGATGTACAGAAAAAAAAAAAAAAAAAATCACACCTAGAACTTGGGCTATAATGCTACTGTGGCAGGGATGGTCTTTTATGCTCACGTGAACATGCTGCTTCACATGAGACTTACAGAAGATGTATTTTACTGAATCACGTCAATTAAAAAAAAAAAAAACAACACCCCCAAAACAGCAAAAAAAAAAAAAAAAAACAACAATGAAAACTTATTTGGGAGTGGTGACAAGTGAGGCAAATGTTTGCATGATTCTATCATCATTTTTATTGAAAAATACCCAAATAACTCTAGCAGCTACAGATGGAAAACTAGCTCAAGTCCCAAGTGACAGAGCTGCAGATCCCTGCTCCAGGCTTCTCAAGCGCCTTGACAGGTCAGACCTCACACCCTACACCTGGGATAACCCCACGTCCATACTTGGCAGGACTGGTGTGATAACTACAGCAGGAAGGCCTGTCAACCTGCCGAGCAGATTGCAACGAACATTGTTAAGTACTGATAATGCGAGTTTAAAAGCTCACTACTATGGTAGAAAGATAGAAAAAGCACTTGAAAAAAAAGTTATATGCCTATTGGATAATCTCTAACAAAGCTGTAGCAGTCTACAGTAGAAATATACCTCAACATTTACTTAAAAGGCAGACTGTTACTGTAGAGGGCAAGCCCAATCGTTTGGAGGCATCTATTTCACAGTCTTCTGACCTATTTGCATCGTCACTATGCAAAAAGCGTGCGAAGTGGTGTCGTTTTCCCAAATCAAATGGCTCTAGGCGCCCAGATTCACAGCCTGCAACACTTCAGGATGCTCAGGGCAGTTACTGGAACTTTAACCACAGTTACAAACCAGTTCCTACAAACACTCTTTAAAGTCAGCTGAGGAACTCCACAATCGTAAAAGTGACAATTTAAAGCATTCTTCTGTGGCTGTTCCTGCTGGTGAATAAACATTGCTATAAAAAAAGGACTAAGCGAAGACTACACAGGAGATACTTTGTTCCTCCCGAAGCTTCATTTTTATTATTCTGCACTCTTTAAAAATCAGGGAGAAGGAAGACAGAGGGAATATTATCCTTCCAAAACTGAGAGTGCAGCTGACTGACTGTCATTGCTACTGCTGCAATATAGCTTCTGACTCATGAAGAATACTCTAGAATTGGTAACAGCGAAGTCCCAAAACTTGATGTCCTTCACTATATTGGAAATTTGCCCCAATTCCAGTGGGCCTTGCATTTGAAAAACAAATGTTCTGAATTATTCAAAGTTCTCGCCATCAGAGCTAACGTATTAGTTAATCATGTCACAGCTCCTGTTACACTCTGAGCAGAGGTGAGTGGCTCGTCTTCAAATACTGGAAAACAAATCCCAAGTCGTAAAAGAGAAAATTCACTCAAGAGATCTGAATGTCTGCAACAGTTTCTTATTCTTTGGCTCCCAAGAAATAGTTGCACATAGCCTTGATATCAAGATTTTTATGGAAAATCAGGTAACTAAGCACACAAATTGTAGTCTGGCACCAAAAGATGTCAGTGACATGACTTTAGGTGACTGTTACTATCACTAGCTTTTATTACTAGCTTAAATACTTACCTACTAATTCCTTCACGAATATCATTCACAGCTGCCAACAGTTTCTGCAGACCTAAAAATGCTTCTTCAAACGAAGATTTTGCAGTCATAGTTGCTGTGTTGGGGTCCAACTTTTGGAAAATTTCAATACTAATATTAAAAAGAAACAAAGAAGAGTCATTGAAAAGCAGTTAATACAAATCCTCAAAATTCAGAGAAATCCAGTATCTATTATCTACACTGCATTTTGACTATTAAAAAAAAATTCAAAAACAAGGCCACGTGTAAATCTATACTAAAACCATCTTATCTAAAATAGTCTTAGAATAAATGGTAGAAAGACCATGCCCTACAATTGTACTTCTCTGTTTAAAATCTTCCTTGGCAGATGTATTCTATAGAAGTATTTTACCTCTGAGTTAAATAGATTTATCATTAAACTTCACTTGAGAACACGACAGTCTCTTCATGCATGAACTGAGTACACCTGAGTAAGCCTCTGTTAGAAAAGAACTGTCAGGTTAAAGAAGCAAAGTGCTTTCCATCAATTTTCCAGGCAGTTTAATTTTCCAGATTTACTGGAATGGGCTTGACACCTTCCCTGCAATGGTTGAGTTGGGATGATGAGCAGCAGCACACGCAGAAGAATTATCCCCACAGGTGCAAGTATCTTCTTGACATGAGTGTGAAGTGACCTTTGATTCTAAAATTTTATCTTCTCTTCACAGCACGGTCCTTAACAGGTGACAAGAGCCAACAGTCCAGTTGCATTTTCATTATAAAGTGGTACACTTAGAGTTTTTCCTTGATGCCGATATGAAACCTTCAAGTTCACGACTACTATCCCAGTAGGAGGACACAGTGAGACTGTTTTCTGGCACCTACCTTCAGCTGACCTCAACACCACACCACGCCAACTCCTAACCAGTCTCAGTTCAGATTAATCGGAGGAGTATGCTGGTGTAGCCCTACAGTACGTTCACATTTCACTGTAGAAGTGGCACTGGTAGAGTTATTATCACTGTTTATTAGGCAAGTCCTTAACAGACCACCAAAAATGGAGTTCCTTTGTGCTTGACATAACTCAGAGTCCCTCCTTGGAAAAGATTTCAGATTAAGACTACCGAAAGAAAACATGGTGTCTATTTAAATTTTGTGATAGTATCTAACAGTATGGCAGCTAGTGATTTTTAACCAGATTTTTGAAAAATAACTAAAATAAAAAGACCGGTAAGACATCTAGATGGAGGGAGGTTTCATTTCCTGCAATTTCATGTTCAAATGAGAAAGGAAATTCATCCCTGGATTCTGCATTTGCATTTTATAGAGCGAAAGATTTTGCTTAACAAGAAAATGTATTATATTTCAAATTGAATAAAGGGTTTTTTTTTGAAAAAGTAAACAATTTTTCATAAGCTAGTACACCTCCCCAGGATTTGGAAAGAAAATAACCACAAGAAAACTTAGAGCCTGAATGCCTCTTTTCTTATGGATGAAGATGAAATTTCCATGGATGCCTCACACTTGTGACTCTCACAGAGTTTTCAACACCATTTTCTAAGTCAACTTATTTCAGCCACTGTTCAGAAAAAGAGCAGTAAACCAGACAGATCACTGACGGCATCTGCATAACAATTTGCATGCTCCTAACTTCTTTGTGTGACAAGTGGTGTGATTTTTATTGTCAATTTTGATTAATTACTAACAGCTTCTTCTCTAAAATACAGGAAAAAGTAATTTCTAAAGTGTGTGTGTGTTTGAAAATTATGTAAGGTTATGTAGAAGTTCTGAACTTCTTTAGCATACTGTACCTGTACAAGTTTATTGTATTCCATACACCTTCAAGGACTGACCAGATCTCCTGGTGCCTGTTTTCTTGAGTCACGTGAAAGCTTGGATGTAATGTTTTTTCTTCAGTGTTTTCCACATTTGGTGTCGTTGCTTCCATTTTTTCACATGCAGCATTTTCTGAAAGAACCATGATGTCTTCTGATAAATCCTGCTCACTGTCTGACCTCACCTTATAAAACAGTTTAGCAAACAAATAATGAATGTATTTGGTTCCTAACTTAAGAAAACGTGAACACTTCTACATTTATTTTTTTTTAAAGCAATGCTCAAAAGAAAGCAAGGCCAAACTCTTCTAGTCATAACCATCTTTATTATAGTCTCTGCCTCTAAAGCATCTCTCAGTCTTTCATCGAGTCTTTCTTCCGTACGTATACGTTGGTATTTCTACAGAGAGGAAACTGCAGCAAAGGGAAGCACTGACATAGGGCTTCCCAGGCATGGTAAACTGGTATAAATGAGAACCACTTCTCACTCTTACTCCCTACCCCCCGACTGATGGCACATTTTCCTCTGCAACAGCACGAAGCATTCATCTACTCAGCTGGTAAACCTGTTCAGAAAATGTGTCCAGGTTAAACTGGAACTGATCTGGCACAACCCCGTCTGTGTGAGGGCGGTTCTCTGTGAAGTCAAGCACCTCTCAGGACACGGGTGGGAGGACCTAAGTTTTCTGACAGAACGCCTGCTGCTCGTGCAGCGCCGGCCACAGAGGCAATGCACGCAGAAGTTACAGCACTGCAGACAATCAAGACTCCCCAGATCATCCTCCTTCTCCTTGACCTTCCTCCTTTCCCCTTCAGCTTTCTCCACAATGAAAAGAACTTTTCACAGACATTCTGACCTGTATTCTTTCCTATATATAGAAATAATTAAAGTCATCCATGCTCATTATTCCATTTTTTATGCCATTACATATGGCACTAACAGTAACCACAAACCAAGGCACTGAAATTTCTTCCACTGCAACTCAGAGATGAGCTGGAAGTAAATATACCTCTCAGAACTCAAAAGGTGCCAGGACACCCCCGTTAACTATCACAAAGCACATGATACAAGCAGGTCCTTCCTCATGTGTAGCACCAGAACTACCAAGGCAATGAAAGCTGAGATAGCACTCCTAGGAGTAGTAGTATTGGATCAATGTCAGAAGCAGAAACAACAATTTTAATTTTAATCTTAATTTTTAAGGCCCTTTTTCATCAGCAACAAATGCGGCAGAAAACTATGACATTTTTCCTGAAAGCAGCTAATATTTTTCAGTCACCCTCCCGATATTAACACATTTATGTTAAGTTTAAAAAAAAGTGTACCAAGCATATATATATATATATAAAGGCAGAAATTTGCTACATGAAAATAAAAGTTATATTTGGGGTCTATTAATTTTGAAAACACTCTAGCAACCACATTGCCTGCAATAATTTGTTGAAATTATGGAAAAAAACTTAGAAATCTAAGCCAAGTTTCTAATATGAACATGGAGCAACTTCAAGAAGATGTGAGGTGAACAAAATACTAAAGCTCCCCTTACCTCTGTAAATGTTTGGTATAGCTTGTTCACTTCAGCATAAGCCTGGGGAAGTACACCATTATAATCTGACCTTGAACTGAAAGCATGGAGTAATTTTTTTGATTCCTGGAGCAAGATACGCACTGTTGAGGAATCAACCGGTTTACCTGATATTTAGCCATTAATAGGGGAAATAGGAAAAAAAAAAAAACAAAACAACAAACTATTAGATGTTAGGAGCTATCAATCCTAGGAGGCAAATTTAATACTCAAGTATCTGGATTAACTAAAGTACATAAGGCCTGAAAATGGTTCAGAAGCATTAGATAAAACAGACTTGAGAAACGTGTGTGAGGTTAAGATTACTCACTTCTTAATCAAGTCTTCCAAATTTATCCCAGGATCTTGCAAGAAGATCAACTGGCATATCTAAAATAATTCTGCAGAACAGCAATATCCCAAAAGAGGTATACCTATTAAAATCAAATACTTGAAAACATCTTTAAATAAATTAAAGGGGTTTGGGGGATTTTTGTTGGCTTTTTTTGAAAACAAACCTCTCTGCCCTCATCTATCACATTAAGTAGAGTTCACTCCTCCATCATTTATTTGGCAAATGCAGATCATTTGGCCACACATAACATGGTGGCAAAGGAGGGAGCAGGAGTATTTACTTTTTAAAATTAGTTCAGAGACTTTGGTGACCATTAATATATATACTCATTCAAATGTTTTCCCCCTGATTTGTGCAGGTACATAGAGATGAGTGGAATAGATTCTTACATGCCTGATAGTGTCCATACATTTGCTTTTACTGTCTTTGTATAAAATGCAGGAAAAAAAAACGAGCAGAGTACTGAATTACAAAACAAACACAAACAAACAAACAGCAACTCAGAAAAAAGAAGGAAACATTTCTGAAATAATTCTCATGATTTTTGCAGGTGATATTAGACCATCTGGGACCAGATCCCTGACAGACTTGATCTTGGCACAAGCCTTCTTTTTATTTTATTTTATTTTTTTAATGTAATTCATAGCTCATCAATTTCAATTCAATTCTGGCTTTAAGGCTACAAAAACAGTGCTGGGATTTTGTCACCCATTTGGGGAATAAATTGTGCATCAATACAAAAGTAGATAAGACTGTCCAAGGTATAGCTCCATTTGGATAATCTTAAATTGAAAAAAAAGGCAGAAGAGGATGGAACACATTACTATATAAACACAGAGTTTATGCCTTTTCAGACTTTCTTCTGTAACTAATGAAACCAGAACAGTGAGGTTTTTTACAAGTTTACAATTAACATTCTCAGAGATCCTTACCTGTACAAAGGTGTTTATCGAGACATTCAATGGTTGAAAGTAAACTCCTTGGCACAACATAACCAAACACAGCCATCCAGTGTTTTTTATAACACTTCAGCAAGTTTACTAATGTCCATGGTGGCTTCAGATACAGTATCTGAAAGATAACATGTTACAAATTCAGAGGCTGACTTTCATACAGACATATTCCTATACATTTCACAACTGCTCTATTCTTCAGTAATGTTATGATTTGCACCTGCTGGAGGAGAATTCCAGTGATTCCTCAGAAATAAGGCCATATTCAGATTTAACAAGTTTATCTATTAAAAAATACTTAATTCAGGTTAAACAGATGTTCATGTAGAAGTGTTCAGCATACAGTAATAATTTTTCAACATTTTCATGATTTTTGGTTCTCATTTCCTCAAATGTTCCAAATACTCTCTAGTTATCCCCTAAAATGATTTATTAATTAATTAATGTATTAATTGTGTACGTAAGCCAGAACAAGAGTAAGTATAGCTTTGATATTTGTTAAAGAAGTGAAAATAAACAGTTTTCCTAGCTGCGACTATATATAAATGAAGTAATATATGCATATTTCAATAAAATTGAAATTTATTACTACCAAATAAAGCTAGTGTTTAGGAGGATGTTAATAGGAATCAATTAAATTAATCAGAAGTGCCCAAAGCTTAACAGCTAATCAAAGCTCTATCTTGTGGAACAACAGTCATCCTATTCAAATTTTTTTTTTTTTTTTGGTGAAAGCCACAAAGGCTAATCTGCAATAAGTTTAAACCTTTAACTAACCATTACCAGCTATAAAATCAAATCTAAACCAAAGAATAGATAATTTGAAAGTGCCTTGTACATGAGTATTTATCTTCTGTTAACAATACTTTTGAAAGACTGAGTGTTTGGAGGTTCTCATAAGCGTCTTTAATTCTGTATCTGCACTGTAACCAACGTAGCTGAGAACAATTTTATCCACATGGTATATATAAAAGGACCTGTTCAGATGGGGAAGAAGTGCCTGCAACAACAGTGCCTCAATATTATCGAAAACATAATGGAAGAATTTCTTGAAGGACATGTTTACAATGCAGTGATTTAACCATACTAAAAAAGCCAAAATAGAAATTGAATGCAATACAAAGACTTCTGAAAATTCACACTGAACAGCCAGCATCTCTGTTACCATTATTATTAAAAGACTATTAAAACACTGCACAGTCATTACTGGTCAAATAGAATAATCTTGTTATAAAAGGAACCAGTAAAACTGAACACTGACCTGTTCACTGCTAGTGAACCGTTATGTTAGAGAACCAGATGACTTAGCTGTCTGGCTTAGCACAGGTACTAAATGTAATGAAAATACCAAGGACATTTCAACCTCTTAATACTTGAAATATCAAGCAAGATGACGTAAGAAATCACCTCCATCCATAGGTTTCCAAATGCAATTTTCATTTCGGTCTCCAAAATACAAGATAAAGCTTCTCCTAAATTCTTTTCAAGATCTGGAAGTATATTTGGGAATTGCGCAGTAAAACTAGCATCACTTCCTTCTGTTTTCTTGAATTCTGTATCTGTCAAACCAATGATAACAAAACGTACTTATTGCAACTGTTTCTGTATCTAATTTATGTTAGTACACAAATAACTTGTCCCCATAAATAAAGACAGACTGCACGTTATGTTACAAAGCAGATGGACTGCATCTAATTAGGTTTCAAGTATTTCTAGTTATACCCACTTGTACTGTGGGTATTTTTCATTATGAGCTACTAACTGAGATTAATTTCCCCAGAGCATTATTCATTTGTGATTTTACTCCACATTGCTTTTCTTCTTCAATAACTTAGATTGTATACAGCCAGTGGGATTATCAGCAAGCATAAAAAGATCACTTCTTAATACTGTAACCTGTATTTGTATCTTTGGAAAAATGAACAGAACAAGCAACCAGGAATCAAATTCTACTGTTTGGGATGCAGGTAAAAGTATTAGCATAAAATATAAGGAGGGATCTTAGCGTGCTGAATTTTACAACTACTAAGAATAGGACCCAAACTGGCTCACCTGGAAAAACCTCTTTTCAGTCCTAAAAAGTGCAAGACATCTTTTAAATTACTATAAACATAGTAAACGCATGCTGTGTTTTTTTCTGCAAGACAAAAGTATGTCATATTTGAGTTTCTTAGAACTCTGAAAGATATTTGAACAAAGGTCCCAAACTTTCAGAAAACCATTTACCTTTGGGGAAAAAAAAAATCTTCCTCAAACAAAAAGCATTCTTAAGGATTGAAAGTATATGAAAACTGAAGTTATAGTAGAAACTATTCTCCCTCTCCTACACTGATTATTATGTGTCTCAAAAACCAGCATATGTATATGTGCACATTAAACAAACCTACCACACTTTGACTGTTGCAGTTCATCACAGTTCTGGTGCCTGTTTACGTTCAGATTCTGTAGAGCAGTAACCAAATCAGCTTTGCAGAATGCCTTGATCTCACTCACAATGGCTTTATTACATAAATTTTTATCATCCCTAGGAGAAGAGAATTAATTGTTGACATAAAACTGACATTCCTACATAGTAAGTAATAAAAGCAACACACTGAAAAAATTGTCTTTGGTAAGCTTATTTTGTGAACTTTATATATTTTTTTTTAATCAAACAATCAGAAGCAGTTTCAAAAAATGAAACCAAAAAATTAACCAAAGCATCTATTCTGAAAAAGTTAGAAACGTACTGAAAAATGTTTCAGGCTTTCAGTTTGCTTTAAGAAAAAAAACAGCTGTAAATACTACAGCAATGATGCCTAGTTGCTATGATCTTAGAATGCAAGCAAGGCAATAATTCAAAGACAGTAGTATCTTGATTGCTACAATAAATTCTCATTTTCAAAACCCTTTTTTATGGTTCTACTGGCCAAACCATTGTCCCAGATGCTGCCCTGAGGTATACACAGCTCCAGCAGAACTACTATAAAGATGCAGTATAAAGTTGGATCCTAGTACTTTCTCAAAAATTCCCATGGCTTATATTGATAAAGGATAAAGGGATTTTCAGATGAAAGCACTTACGATGTCACCTTTTGTTCTTTACTCAGAGAAACCTAAAATTATCAATACTGTGATTGAAATAGTATTTTCAGCAGCAACCCAATCCACACATGTCAACTTCAAACAAACCAACTGATGCCTACTGTCTTAACCCCACTTACAGAAACTACGCAGGAAATGGTTCCAGCACAGACCAAAGCCAGCTGTTTACAGTACCTGTCAAGGATTATTAGCCCTTGAAAAACTGGCTTCATGGGGCTTGTATAAAATTGAGAATCGATACTCAGAAGTCAGCTGTTATCCTCACAAAACAAGAACAGAGGCAAACCTGTCTCCATGTTCCCTCTTTCTAAGATTAATGTTCAGTGCCCACCCTCCTCCCCAAACCAGAGGCAAATCTATCTCCATCTTCCCTCTAAGATTAACCCCTGACCATATTTAGCACTGTTCTAAACAGGTGAGCAGAAACAAGGTATCTAACTGGATCTCAATCATTAATACAACATAGAAAAAAAATATTTGTAACTCCAGTAATATTTTTTATGAGAAATCAGAATAAAACCTGAGAAAGCTATGCTTTAAAGTGTTTACAAATTGAATATTGAGTAAACTTAATTCTACTTCAGGCCTCATGCACATGAAGGTGATTAAGTCCACAACCTTTGTGTTTTATTATATCCTTCTACTCTAGGTTTTAACAGGGTAATTGTTTTTCAAAAACCTTACTTCAGAAACAGCTCTTCATTTTAAGATATGATTGGAAAATAGTGTATTTGGCATGAGAATAATTGACAGCTGATCAGAGACCTAGAACCACACAGGAACTCACGTGCAGAGTATGACAACAGCTTGAGGAAAAAGGTTCTGATACTGCAGACAACATTGTAAAACACGATCGTCATTGTTCTCGACACTCAGGCCATCTGCAAATTTAGTTAAGACAGTGCTGACACGTTCAGAAGTAGCTCAACATAAGAAATACTTCAGTGTAGTCATGATACTGTTTTTAAACTTAATACTCCCCAAACAAGGACAGAGAAGTGTAATCTAAACACAAATCTGAGGTTTGAATTCTTAGGTGCTACTCCACTCAAAACCGCTTATAGCTTTGCCAGAAAATGTCAAGTGAGCCACATGTAAATTCAAGTATGTTAGCTTTTGTGATGACCGAGTCAAAAGCAAAAGCACACAACATATCCTTAGCTCGTAGGTAAAACTAACTACACGAATTTTCATTAAGTAACCCCCCACTTACCAACAGATGTGGCTAAGTGAGAAACAATGGATAAAACACTAGTGAAGAAAGCATTAATCTGAGTAAGGTATTTGCATACTATAGCCTTGGATATGCTCTGAAGGCTGCTGCAAGCTGTTAGGTAATTTTAATTAGAAAGTTGCGGAGTAAAGACTGTATTAAACTCAAAACAGTAGGTGAACTGCAAGAATTTAAAGTACCCAAAACAAACTGATTGCACATATATTACATATTTTTTGAGAAGCAAGCTGCATGGATTGCCCCCACAATTTTGAATCTTGGTTTTTGAGACACGTGTAGATGAACTGGACTGCAGGGATAGCTTTGTCCCGAACATGCTGCAACATTTTCCCCTTCTTCAAGTTGTCCAACTCTTGTAGAACAACCCAGGGAATTATTAATGCAAGTCTGCCAACACCTGGAAGGAAAAAGAAAAAAAAAACACAACCGCAAAACAATGGCATTTTGAAGAGCCATGCAAACTACTACAGATAACTCTTAATTCAAACATTGTATTTATCTAAGTTCACACTTATCTTTTTTACCAGTAGTTTCCATATGCCATCCTCTAGAGTATCTAGCATTAAAAAGTCAACAACTGAAAAAGGTCAAGTTCCCTCTTTCTAATCTAACCTCAAACTGGCACTATGCTGGTTCCATGTAAAAATTACAGTATTAGGTGAACAAAAGGAAGACACAATTTTAATCAACAGAATACTCTGACAACAATGTATGGCAATATTATAAAATGTATTTGCAGCAGTTATCATCTTGTCGCACACTCACTGTAGGATGTTAAAGCAAGGTGACAGCAGCTGAAATAACAGGCTGAAAATACCTGAATGACCACAACAGTCACTGTGCCAAATAAAATAAAAGGAGCAATGATTTGTGCCAATTGCCAAGCATTCCTAAGTCGGGAAGTATGGATATTGGACCATGGCTTTATTTGTATGCAAGTATGGTCTGAACTTTGAAACTATTATATATGAAATACATGGTAAATTAGAAATTTAATGACTGTTCTGTTGGTCCACTGTGGCAGGTGCACCCACCCTGATGAAAGACCGTTGAGCCACTATACTTGCTAACTCTGGTGAAATAGAAAACCATCTGCTGACTCTAGCCTCCAGTGAAATGCAAAAGTATCTGCTAGTTCTGGCAAATATCTGCTGACTTTGGACAGACTCAGGTAACCACAACCCCTGCTGGTTTTGGTCACAATGGGGTTGCACAACTGGAACCCACACTTTGGTCAAAGGCTGAGACCCTCAGCCAATGTGGACAATCACGACCCTGTTTTGACCATAGGTCAGATTTGACTAGGGTACAAATGGGGTCCTGCTGGAGGACAAATGGTGCCAGTCCTCCTTGGAGCAGCGGGTCTGCAGTCAGGGACTCTCCCCTTGGGTCGGGACACCGCCTGGGGTAACTCCTTGAGGGTGAGAGCCCTCATCTGATAGGTGATTTGCACATTTTGGTTCATCATTTCTAAAGCTTAAGCATTCTTAAGTCAGTCATGCAGTAATTAACCTCCTCTTACATCCTGAACGTGTCGTATGCTGAGGTTGAAGTATTAAATGATTTTTGATTAGAACAAGTTTCCTTTGAGCTTATAAAACCTAAGACAATTTTGTGAGCCTTCACGACATTAATTGACATAGTAACTCAATGGAAGGTCTTCCTTGCCCTTTGTGCCTTTCCATTAGGCTCAAAACCATTGACCAAGCCTGGGCCTAGGAGTGGATCCAGCCCCCACCTAGACCCCTCTCTGAGAAGTTTAGAAAGCTTAGAAAGTTTAGGGGTCCATTCTGAACCTTGTGACTCAACAGGAGGGTCTCCTGACAGTTTTGTCTGACCCTGTCCTCTGTGCAGTAAATACCAAGTGATCCTTGCCATCAAATCTTGTTAAACCATTGTCTCATTTACTATCAAACTTTGTTAAGTCGCACTTTTACAAATTCACATTAAAATTACTTTTGCTAATATCTTTGACAGTGATTAAGCGATCTAAATCACTCATCCATGACATCCACCCATGACAAATACTTCGGGTTTTTTCTCATTCACGTTATAGGAATACAATTATGAAAAAATACATTGATATCCATCTGCTTTGTAATAAATAGGTCAAGAATTGGCAATGTTCTGAACATAATGGGTCTGGTGCGGGGTGAGAAATTGGGAGCTGCAATATTCTAAAAAAGGCATTCCAGTGTATACAGTGCAACACCATTCCTAGTATGGGAAAGAGAAATAGTCTGATGCAGTCTTGAAAATTACTCAGGGCCTTATTAAAGTTATTTTCCAGGTGGCCAGAATAAGTGTATTCATTAGCTGAAAGCATCAAAGCACCCTAAGTATTCTGATAGATTCCAAATGTCTACCAACAGCTGACATGCACAATCCTAATCCTGCTAACATTAAATCACTAAAAGCTTTACAACATATTAAAGCCAAACATTAAAGCCAGTCTGCAATCTGAATTCCTGAGAAATTGCTCACACATCCCGTGATTTCTGTGACTTTTACCAAGACAGAAATAAAACACTGACCGCTTATCAGATTTTAAACGTTTTTAGATTTCTAGTAAAATAAAAAGCTAAGAAGAGAGTAGAAAACATCATTACCACTAGTAATGGATTAAATGTTTACAAGTATGTTCTTACAATAGGCAAGACTTACTTACCTCTAAGAATTGACACACATTCCTGGGAAGGCTGACCACGATTCTCTGCAGGTATGCAGCTATAAGCACAGTAGGTTCTACTTGCATAGCTGAACTTTCCTTAAGAGGCAGCCTACTTGGGTTCCCAGAACCAGCCTCTTAAGTGTGAGCCTTCTGCCCCTGTATGAAACCTGCTGCCTTTTTAAGGAGCCCAGGTTTCTTTTTCTTCACATAGCCTGAAGTTCTTAAAACATCCGCTTTTTCTTAAAATGTCTTATTGATCACCGTGTATTCACATACCTGGTATATCCTCAGATTTCAGGGATCTGACAAACTCAAGGTGACTAATCATTATATTTGTGTCAATCACCACTAATATGTTCAGACCAGAAGTAAAAGTGTCTGGGGGAAAAAAAAAAAAAAAAGGAAAAAAACCCACTCAGTTGTGAAAAAAAATCTGTTGTGTACTCTCTACTCAGACCATTAACCGACTGTATTAACAAGGTGCAAGTAGTTACCAAAGAACATCAAATCATGACGTACCAGCAGCAATATTTAAATCCTGTTCTGGCAGATCTATTTCCATACTTGTAAGTTCTCCACAAGTCTGTATGACAGACAGCCCCATCTTCTTCTCAACACGAGCCACATGCAAATCTTCAACTATCTGCATCTACATTGAAAATAATTTGCATGTATAAAATTAATTATAAGTAATCACTTAAGAATTGTTCCCAAAAAGAATACTGTCGCATAAATGATGTTGTATTAAAACTGACTGAAAATGAAGCATGAAAAATTTGAGGTTGGTACAACAAATGTAAAGCTATGAGAAACTTCTGCACAACCTCCACTATAAGGAGTCCATAAAAGATGTCCAAAATATGGCATAGAGGGAAGATTTGTTTATGACCTTTCTACCTGGTACCCAAAAGCTTTGTTCCAGTTTTTGCTACATCAACTGCATGGTTCCTGACAGGGGTTTCTGAAAAAAATATGCCTCTCTTCCAACTTGAAAGTTAGAGGATGGACAACGAGATAGCTAGGGTATGTAAGCAACTATGAAATTCCCCTACATTGCAGAGAATAACAGAAAGGCAATCTTTCTATCTCAAAAAGTTCCTGATTAGCAGTACTTTAGCACTTTTGTTTAGTTTTTTTTAAACATGCTCCACGATTTTTAAAGTGTAGCTCATAAACCAACAATGCAAAATACTAGAAAAGGTCACGGAATTGTCCAGTTACACAATCTCCGTGCCATGAGTTTTTAAAACAACTGAGAAGTGTTAAAATAAAGCATTACTAACCTCTTGGTCTGCTTCTGGGTTCTGACTGTTTTGAACGGGTGGAAAGACTTCAAATCTCTGTAGAAAGAATTAAAAAAAACCATACCAACAACATAAATTGTCATGGAAGACTGAGGAACAAATGATCCCCGTGTCACAAGTTTCAGAATATAGCTCTTCAGTTAAACAAGTACATCACTAACCTTTTGGACAGACTCTATGTCCTCACCTTCTCGGTAAGAATCAGATGTGCACGGGACCTCAAAATTCTAGAAACAAGTAGGAATGGAAGTAGAACACGTATCAGTCTTTTAGAGTGCTTTGTAGAGAAAACACTGAATATTCCCATATGAATTGAATAGGTAACATAAAACATATTTAGATATCCACGATGAAGCATCTACAGTATCATCTCAAAAGGGCTTGTAAGGATGGCTTTTTAAAAAATAGAGTATATTAAAATAAAAATAGCGTAAGCCTATTTTTCCAGTGTCTCCTGGGTTTGTGACTATGTTATTCTTGCCCTGGGCTTCCCAGTAAAAGACAGACATGAATTTAACAGAGTGAATTGAGCAACGGGTCCCTAAGACAGTTAAAGGACTGGGGCGTGTCATACAAGAGGCTGAAAGAGCTAGGACTGTTTGGCCTGGAGAAGAAAAGGGGGAGTCCTATCAATGTTTATAAATATCTGATGGGAGGGTGTAAAGAAGATGGAACCAGACTCTTAGCAGTGCCCAGTGCCAGGACAAGAAGCAACAGACACGAACTGAAATACAGCAAATTGCATCTGAACATTAAAAACCCCACTTTTTTACAGTGAAGGTGCTTGAACAGGCTGCCCAGAGAGGTTGTGGAGTCTCCATCCTTAGAGATATTCAAAACCTGACTGCACATGCAGCACCTGCTCTAGCTGACTCCACCTGAGCAAGGGGGTTGGACTAGACAATCTCTAGAGGTGCCTTCCAACCTCAACAATTCCATGATTCCGTAGGTAAAGAATGCTATCTTTGCATATGCACAAAATGATTGCACTACCGTAACGTGAACTGAAATCTCCAAAAATGCTAGGCATGTTAAAAGAGAACAACAACAACAAAGGAACTACGCTCAAGATAAAGTTGAGGCGCAGGGCCAAACACAGGCTAGAACTCAGAAACAAACTGAGCACAGCCAAAGGTGAAGTTCTGCATGAAGCGTAGAAATTTAGTCTTAGATCTACAACAAGTACTCCTAGCATCCCTTTGCCAGCAATGAGCATCTGTGTGGCAGGCAAGTTTCCACTGGTTCAGTTTATTCATTCAAAAAATGATACAACCGTGTCAGCTCAAAAAAAAATTGTTGCCTAAATTGAAGTATTTCACACTCCCAACAGCAATGAAAGGCTATGGAAGCATACGTGCAGACACAGTCCTAATACACAAGACCTTTATTCTTCTAGTTTGTTGAGCCATTTAGCAGAGCAGAGAAACATTTTAACATGGTTTAGACTGGGATCAGAAAAAATCCATATAGTTAGCCATGAAATCCTGTTTGATATCTGTGAGAAGACAATTTGCTTATGTGAAAACTGCCTGCCATTCAGAAACTAGCCTGAAACATCTATCACATAATAAAAATAACGGGGTTCTCATTACCTGTTTAAAACATGATGCTGTGGCTTCAAAGTCTCTTTCTTTAGTCCCTGAACTATCAGTAGCTTCATCAGGACCAGCATACTGTTTTTTTCCGTTTACAAGAGTCCCACTGTTGTGGTGTTTCAGTTGAATAGTGTGATGGTGTATGTTTATTCACATGTCGTTTTTTCTTAGAAAATTTCTTATGTTCTTCTTCATACTCTTCTTCCCAAGACCTAGATGGTGTATTTGGCTTCTTAGCGAAAGGCCTATCATCATGCACAGTCCCGGTAGAGGTGTCAGATGGCTCTTTTGGAATTCTGACATCTTCACTCCATTTTTTTGATCCATCTGCCTTTTTATGTGGTACGTGTGAATTGTACGCAGATGACTTAAATTTTTCCAACATAGTTTGTTCTGCTTTTAACTTTAATTTGCAGAGTTCAGCTTTCTCTGTCTTCTTCTTCAACGCCTTGTGCCTCTGAACTGCAAAGCTATGCCAGAGTCTTTTTCCTTCTGTTCCATCGAAACGACTTTTGTTATAACTTTCCTTGCTAGTACTCACTGTATCAGGAGTCCGTGTACTTTTTCCATGTTTAATTTCTTTGGCTTTAAATTCGATAACTATTCTCTTTTGCTTTTCAGTTTGGATTAAAGAATTGGCTGTGGATCTGCTTCCATTTGGAGATTTTCCTCGAGATCTTCCATCAGCGCCGTGAGAAATATTAGAACTTTGGTCTTGCTTCTTTTCTTGCCCATCTTTCTCTATTTTGACTCTATAGAAACATAACAAAGTAATGTAATCTAGCTCAGTTGATATAAAAGAACAAAAAATAAACACAAAACCTCCCCAACCTACACTCGATTTAGGCACTTACAGCTAACTATTTATGAGTGCTAGTTTGGTATGTTCCTAAATAGGAACTTGCAGCAACATTTGTCCTTTAAAATCGTTTGATACAGCATTTTTAGTATTTACATTTTTCCTCGCTGTACAGCTATTTTAGCTTACAAAAATGGAGAAAAAGCTTTTTCTGCACTCACTACCTATTGGTTTGAGAGATGCCTTACGAAGTCTAGTTTCATCTTATCACACAGACAAATGTTGACAACAGTTTAATTATATATGAGGTGTGTCACCCTAAAATTCAAGTGTGCAGCAGTTCAGCTTGTTCGCACAGTGCCAACCACCACACAGCTTTCAAACAGTGCAGGATAAACAGACTGGAGAACTCGGAAAAGAAACGATTGATGGAAACATGGTAACATTCTACAGAAATCATGAATTATATGAAAAACAAATAGGAAACTCTTTTAAGAGCAGAGAAAATACCCAATACATTTGTCACACACTAGGTTAAAAATACCCAAAGAAAGTTTCTATCATATTCTATAATAGAGTTGTCAAAAATGTTGGGGAGGTAAAAGCCACTTGACAAACTCGTGAAGTATGGGTAACTTAAACGCACCGACTGGCATCCAACTTCTGATTTAGGAGACGCCTAACTGGCTCTTAGAAGATGGAAGGGTGTACAACAGGTAAAATAATATGTGAAACAAGACAAGTACAAAATTCTTTCCTACACAAGCCCTACTGGCCACCGTCAGGGATGGGGTACTGGGCCAGACAGTTTTGGCATGAACATAGTTAGTGTTTTATGGTTGTATCATACTGTACTAACAAATAGTGCTTAACAGTATCTATACATGCAGCTAAATATCTTACAACTTACAACTCCAGTCTGAAAGAAACTGCAACAAGATTTTGCCATGATTAAGAAACAATCAAAAGCTTTTCCATCTCAAGATTCATGAGAACATTCTCTTTATACAAAGTAGTTTTCAAACACTGCCTACATTTGCTACACTCCAGGTTGCTTTCTTTGCCTTGGAATCAATTACTTCAAGCATCAGGAGATATCAGTGATTTCAGGACTACAGGACTATTAAAGGTACTAAGTTCACTGCAGAACTATTCTCCAGGCTTCACTTGAACCTTTTTTTGCGAACAAAACACATGTAATATGCAATACAGACCAATAAGCTAGTACCCAAGACAAAAAAAAAAAAAAATATATTTTTATGACAGCAGCGTTGGAAGGATATAATTCCTACCTTATCTGAAGTGTAGTAGCATACATCAGAGTTAAAAATCGTAATTCTGAACCCTGTCTTCTCAACTATCTCAAACTGCCCAGCTTTAACAGAATCCAGTCATTAATGCAATGCCAATACTTCATCAGTCAAAATACCATATTTTATTTGGTGAACAAGTCAAACAAAATTCTTAATATTCAGTATTAAAAAAAGTCTGTGATTGTTTTATTTTTAAGTAGTTCCATTTAATGACAGAGCAAGAATTTACCTGTGAAATTCTGTCTCTCCTTTCATAGTATGCGTATAAGATCTTGGGTCTTCAGAGTTCTGAAAGAAGAAAAAAAATCCAAGGGCTTACAGAGGAAACTACAGTTAAAAAAAAACCCTTCATAAGATGGAACAAGCTATTATTTCATACTAAATTCATTATGATTTTGAGTAAGTGAACCTTGAAAAAGGCAGCCACATACCCTGCTATAATTTAGATTTTGTTGTATTTAGAAACACAAGGGGAAAAATTGAATGTGGCACACAGTCCTGGGTTATAAATAGAGAAAGCTCAACTAACTAAACACACTTAAGTTTCATGGGTTTCATATAGTCTACAAGTATATCAATATGTAAAATATACATTTTTGTATATTTATAAAAATTCTTAGGGAAATAAAAGTTACCCAAAGACTGTGTGCAGCTACCCCCAAGGTAAGGCCAAACACAGGATATGTCTAGCCATGGTTTCTGTGTAGAAGAGAAGTGTTACTAATTCTCATAGGATTTACTAACTAGGTGAAAAAGTGTGAAACCACAGTTAGGCAGGCCTGGTTAAGAGTAAAGACAGTCCCCAAACAAAGAACTTCAACAGCCCTTGTTTAGAAACCAGTTATAACACTGCTTGGCATACCTATATCACAAGCTGAAGACCTCTTAGCCATACTGTGATCACACTGAAGAAACACTTGCTACTATTCAGAGGTTTCCTTATCTTTTTACTATTGTTAGTTTGGGTTCTCAGTTGCGTGCACTGATCAATGTCTGTATATAGTAATATTTAATGCTGTCTCAAACAGAGAGAAGTCATGCAACAGTTAAAACTCTGTATTCTTCAAACTGGTATAAGCACTAGCAATGGCAACATAGCTGTAGTACAAGGCTTTAAGGAAAGCTTTTGCCCTTTGTAATACATAAGTAAAAACAAAAGCTACCTTAGAATAAGTTAATGTTAAAGGAAAAATTGAATAATAATAAGGAATTCAGGAGGAAAAAAATTAGTTACAAATATTTGGCTTTGAACAACATTTTCCACATGAGCAAAAGGCTCCTAACATGTATAACTCAGTTTGTAAGGCCATAATATCACACTCATTTACTAACACTTCCAAACATTTGTTGAGACATTTATGATAAGAGAGTTAAAAGTTCTCCTATCTCATATACACCTTACAAAATTAAAGGGGAAAAAAAAAAAAACTAGCAAACTTAAGTGTGGATTTATTAAACGACTGATTTATTGGATACGTATTACACTACTTACAGGAAATAACTTCCCAGAAAGGGATACGAACAATAAAAAAGAATGAGAAGCTATATACAATTGTGACCAGAAAGATTATCACTCCTGTAGTACCTCAATTTTACAAGCAATTCAATGAAAGCTTACGAGATACAAATATGTACCAGAGTTTACTAAGAATTTTGGTCATCAATTTGTGTTTCAGCGGTTAAAAGGAAATATTTGCAAGTCGTTTGCTAAAACGCTGCGAAGTACCATTTGTGTTTAATCAGAAAATTAAGATATACGATCCAAGGTAAAGAACAATCCAGGAAAACAGTAGTGGTTTTGGTAATAGTTTTAAGCTCAACTTTTCTCAACTAGGAAGATACACCAAAATAAAAAAAACTCTTATTTTCTGATACCCGCACTACTCATAGCATCTGGTGAGCAACACAAGCTAGTTATCTAGCTAGAACTTGCAGTTATCTGACCGATTCAAGCTTCCCGCTGTTCTTAACAACCCCATCATTAAATCTGATTCATTCTTCTACCACAGGACTGATAAACAATTCATGCACTTCTCTTGAATGTGGGGGTTTCAATTAAAATAATTATAATAATAGTAATACAGCTGTTCCTACTTTGTCATCCTGGCCATCCAAACAGTCTTCCTTTCTAGTTAATTTCTTCATCTTCTTTTTAGACATCTTCAAATCCTAAGAAAAACAGTTTCCATTATTATTTGTTTCAGGTTTTTATTTTCAGCTGGTATAAAAAAAAATAAATTTTGACTGCATAGAAAAAAAAATACTCTGTCATAGTTTGAGCTCAGAGGGCAAGTGAGCACCATACAGCCGCTCACTCCTTCCTTCCCCCCCAGCACTGAGAAGGTGAAAATAAGCCAGGCTTGAAATTTGAGATAGGACAGGGAGGGGCAAATCACCCATTATGGTCACAGGCAAAAGGCAGACGCGTTAGGGGAAAAAAAAAAAAAAAAACCAACATAGATTTATTACAACCACTAACAACAACACATAACAGAGTAGGACAGTGAGAAGCATTGCCACATCTGGAGAACACCTTCCCCCCACCCCTCCCTTCTTCCCGGGCTCAGCTCTGCTCCCGATATCTCTACCTCTTCCCCCAGGGGAGCAGGGGCAGGGAATGGGGGGTGCAGTCAGTGCTGCCGCTTCTGCCATCTGCGGTGGGGGGAGCTTCTGGAACTTGTTCGCCCTGCTCCAGCGTGGTCCCCCTCTCACAGCAGACAGTCCTCCACAAACTTTCTCCAACATGAGTCCCTTCCACAGGCCGCAGCATTTCCTTACACTGCTCCGGCACGGGACACCAACTTTCTCCGACTGGATTCTCTCCCACAGCTGCAGCCCTTCCCGAGCTGCTCCGGCGTGGGACTCCCCCGCATGCTGCAATCCTCCCAGTGCTGAACTACAGCAGCGGGGCTGCTTCTTCTCACAAGATCCCAGCCTCCTTCAGACACATTCACCTTAAATGGCCATGAGGCCCCTCACAGCCCATAAATCAGTGTCTGCTCCACCATAGCTCTTCATGGGTGGCGGGGGGGGCCGCCCTGCCGTCTCACCACAGGATACAGGGGGGTCTCTGCTCTGGCACACCTTCCCCCTTTCTTCCTCTGTTCCTCCACTGACCTTGGTGTTCATGCAGCTGCTGCAACTCCTCCTCACAAGTCCCACTCCTCCTCCCAGCTCCTTTATTAAATGCATTATCAGAGAGGCACAGCTGATTGGCTCGGCCCTGGTGCAGAGGTGGGACCGACTTGGAGCCAGGGGACCTTCAAGAAGCTTCTCACAGGCAACAACTGCTGCAGCCCCCACCTCTGCTATCAAAAAAATCCCCACCACTCACTCAGCCCCAGGACATACTCTAATAATCTTATTTCCTTTTCTCATCACAGAGCCACAGCTGATTTCAACAGGGTTAATCATTCACATCTCACTACTAAGAGAACTTCACAGGAAAAAAAGGATGTCAACTACTTTACCATCTGCTCCAGAGACATGCATTTTCTATCAGCAAACATACCACACTATTAGAGACAAGCATCCTTTAACATTTAGTCATTGTGGTGGTATAGACCTCCCTCCTGTCCTACACCACACTGTGATGCCAGGACCAGCCAACACTCTGTTCTTGTCTTGGGTTACAAGTGCAGTGAGCTGGGACAATCTGGCACTTCCTTGTCTTTTATACAAGTGCAGTGAGTTGGGATGATTAGGTGCTCCCTAACACACCTGAAACTCCTGCTGCCTGGGAATCATATCTAAAACTCCTGCTGCCTGGATTGCAGCCCACTCTGGAAGGTACCAGAACTACCTGACAAGAATTGTGGCCAAAATAAAAGATACTGACCAAAGTCAACCATCTCGTGCTCCTATAAGTAGCAATCCTAAGTGAGACCCTTTGAGCTCTCTCTGGGATCGCAGAAGGCTGTGACCCGGTATCTCCCTCTGAGTTGGGATGCCCCTTACAGCAGATTTCAAGAGGATTTTGAAGAACAGACTTTGTAAAAATTTCCAAGATTGTCTGCTGATAGATGCCGATGAAGAGAAAGGGTTCAAAGATTGTCTGCTGCTAAATGCTGATGAAGGAGAATAGCGAATAATTCACTACAATTAGATTTCTCCAAGTTCAAAGACCAGTTGGTACCAATAATTTACTTACTATTGAATCTCGTTAATCAGACTTTGTTAAGTCACACTTTCACAAACTCATGTTAAAAATCACTCGTTGATACCTTTGACAGTGATCCTTTAAGGGATCTAAACCATTCATCAGCGACAAACTGGTGTAGTCGGCAGGATGGCAAGTAGTATCATCTCTTACTTACAAAAGCACTGTATTAACCCAAACCCCAGATTTTCAGAAGAATGAGTCTGTGATAACTGGTATGAATGGGAAGGAGTAGAGAAGCAACTGAATGACTCAAGGGGTTCAATCAAGGATAGAACGCTAGGAACATGTTTAGAAGTGGCGTACCAGGAAAGCAAAGAAACAGTAAAATTAAAGATACACAAGATGAAATAGAGGGACATAAAGCTACTGAAATACTACCATCTTTAAGAACAGAACAATCACAGGATGGTTTGGCTTGGAAGGGATCTTAAACATAACCTAGTCCCAACTCCCACCCCCCTGCCCCGGGCAGGGCCCCCTTCCCCCAGCCCAGGGGGCTCCCAGCCCCGTCCAACCTGGCCTTGAACCCTTCCAGGGAGGGGGCAGCCACAGCTGCTCTGGGCACCCTGGGCCAGCGCCTCACCCCCCGCACAGGGAACAATTTCTGCCTTACATCTAACCTAAATCTGCCCTCTGTCAGTTTAAAATCATTATCCCTTGTCCTACCCCCACCCCCTGACCCAGAGTCCCTCCCCACCTTTCCTGTCCCCCCTTTAAGCCCTGGGAGGCCGCTCGAAGGTCTCCCCGGAGCCTTCTCTTCTCCAGGCTGAACCCCCCTGAAATCTCTCAGCCCAGCCTCCCAGGGGAATTGTTTTAACACAACAGTATTAATATGACAGTACCTTTTTCAGGAACAATTCATATGTGATTACTTGCAGTTGATTTAATACATGCAAATTTTTTTCAATGTAGATGCAAATAGTTGTAGACTTGCACGTTGATGGTGTTGCGAAGAGGATGGTGCTGTCTGTAGTACAGACTTGTGGAGACCTTACAAGTAAGGAAACAGATCTCGAAGAACAGGAGGGGGCGTGGAACTAGATGATCTTTAAGGTCCCTCCCAACCTAAACCATTCTATGATTTAAATATTTATGCTGGTATGTCACACTTTGATGTTCTTTGTTATCTACCTGCAACTAGTTACAACCACTGTGACTTCTGTCTTTAGTCCAAGCAGTTAAACAAGTTGAGAAAATACATCAGGGACAACCTATTCAGACTGGGTGGCCATTTAATTTGCCAGAAAGTCTTAAAAGGAACTGCTCACCCAGAAAGAATGCACAAAAAGGAAATGGTATGCCTACCTGGTGGGAGTAGCAGGTGAAAGGCTGAACTGAAGGACAAACAAAAATTTCCAAATTACAAATGCCTATAAACATTGACCCACTACCACTAAAAGTGCCATTTAAACCTTCACCAATTCTAGCTGCACCTCCCCTCACTGAGAAAGCACCAACTGAAGGCATTTGGCTCAGCAAAAAGAATAAATGCCAAGTGGCAGTATAAGGCTGCTGCATTAGAAATTAACACCGGCAAACGAGTAATAGAAGAAGGTGAATGTTGCGCACGAGTAGGAGAATTAAAGGCAGCGGTTCCAGCAGCACAAACCAGTAAAAGCCATCACGTCGACTCCTATGCCGTGTGGGCGGGGGCCACGCAAGGGCTTGGCAATGCGAACCCCCAACTTCGGGAGGAAGGAGAGCCGTCAAGTTTTAAAGCAGCTCCAACTATCGAACTCTCGGCTTCGCCCGTCTCCCCTCCCCGTGGGGTGGCGGTAATATCGTGACATCTCGCAACAGCTACACCAACTAGTCGTGCGGGCGTGCCGCCAAGGAGAGGCTGAAGCGGGCCCTAATCAAGCTTCTCCAGAAGCTCCCGGGTTTAATTTCCGGAGTACAGGTCAACCACCTAAGCAGCTAAGCCACAAAGCCAGCGGGGAAGCGCACGGCTCTCAGCCAGCCCTCAGCGCGGAGCGGCTGGAAGCGGCTAGCGGGAGGGCGGCTGCCCCGCCACGACCCACGCGTGGAGAATGGGCCGAGCCCCCGGGAGCACAACCCGGCCGGCCTCCCCCAACGCACCGCACCCCTCCGCGGGCAGCTCGGACGTACCCTCCCGTCGAAGAGGAGGAGGAGGCGGGCACCGGCTCCGCGCCCCACACCCCGTCGCGGAGACGGCCCACGGCGGAGCGGCCTGAGGGCTCCGCCACAGCCCCCGGCCCCGGTCCCTCCCCGCCGCGGGGCGCGCTGGGAAATGTAGGCGGTGCGGCCCCGCCTCCTCTCCCGCCGGCCCCGCCGGGCCTCCCCTCAGCGCTGCCCGCCTTTCCCAGACAAGAGGCTGTGGGGCCGGCGGCGCGCCTCTGTTTCGCCTCGGCTCCCTTCTCCCGCTCGCTGGGCTGGAAGATGGCGGCGGAGGAGGCTGCGGAGGCGGCTGCGGAGGCCTCGCTGGCGCGGCTGTCCCCAGAGCCGGGACGGGAGGAGGGCGAGGAGGGGAACCCCGAAAGCGGCGACGAGGATGGGAACCCCGAAAGCGGCGGCGAGGAGACCGCACCGCTCAGTGAGGGTCGGGCGGGGGGGCGGGGGGGAGACCGTGAGCGGGCGGGCGGTGTGGCGGGACCCGGGCCCGCCGTCCCCCTCTGAGGGGAGCGGCGCGGCGTGGCGTGGCGTGGGTGCTGCCCCGCGCCCCGGGGGTGCGCGGCCCCCCGCGGCGGGGTTGGATTCGCAGCCGGGCGCCCGCAGCCGCCTTCGTGCCGGCTCCTCTCTCCCCGCGAGGGGATGTCGGCGCGGGTTCCCCTCACCCCGTGTCGCCGACTTTGTGTGGGAAGCGGGCAGGCGGCGGGGCCACGCGTGCGCCATGTGGCGGCCCGGCGCTTCGAAACAGCGACACGGGGGCTCCGGTGGCCCTTTCTCCCCCCCCCCCCACCCCCCCGCCTCTCGTGAGGTTTTGCTGCTGGGGATGAGTTTTTCTTATTTCACAGCGTGGGCCGCCAGGTCCCGTTACGAAGTGCTGGCGGTGGGGCGGGGATGCCGTGTGTGCCATGCCGCCGCTGCCCCACGCGGCTTCTCTCCTCCGTGTTTTCTGCCAAACGTGTTCAGACAGGATGTGCCGGTTTTCCAGCCGCGCCAAATGCGGCATTGATGCTCGTCGTTTGCTACTGCGGTCTTACAGTCGAAGTGAACCGGTTCTTCTAATTAAATATATTTATTTAATATATATATATATACTTAAAATGTAGGGTGTTTGAAGCATTATATTTGTGCGTAATCAGTGATTCCTGACGGGCGTTTAAAAAACATTCCAATCGTGTTTCGGTATCAGCCTGCTTTTCTTTTTTCTGTCCTTTCTTAATCATTTAGTGTGAAAGTTTACCTCTCCTTATGTAGACGTATATACAAACTATGTACATGTTCGCACACTATCTTTTTCAGCGATTTTAACCTATATATACTCTTGTTTTGTCCAACTCTCGCCGACCTCGGTCACTGCTATGCTCTCACTATGCGTTTCTTTTAACAGGGTTACCAGTTTTTCTCACAGCACACGTAGTCATAATCAATCATTGCTCTTCTCGCGGGTTTCTTAACAAAAATCCTGTTCCATCTTCATTTTCTTTTATTAATAAATGTGTAGAAACTATCACCAGTCATCTTGCAGCTTTTTAATTGAGAAGTAGGCAAGAGATACAAGTCTGTCTTAGGTGAGTTGTCAACTTAAAAATGGATCTGTGAGAAATACAGCAACGCTCACCGAGTAGCAGTTCTGGTCTTGCTATATTTTAAAGTAGGTAGAATAATTTTACTCCATGCTTCTGTCTGTCTAAACAATTTCTCAAGCCGTTGTCTTAAGGTATTCCTTCCATTTCCTCTTTCTGTTTTTTTGTTTTGTTTTGTTTTTATATATAATAGCAAATATTTGTATCCGACTGCAATGTTTAAAAGCAAACAAGCAAAAAACCTCAGGGCAATCGTAAGAACTTCTGTAAGATCCTTCCAGCCTTTTTTCTGTCTTCAGCAGTGACCAGGAGGAGATGGCTAGGGAAGACTAGCAGAACAGAGCGAGCATACATTAATGCATCCTCCAGAAATATCTTCAAACACAGAACACTTTATTACTCCCCGTTTCCTTGAGCCAAAGGTCGTGTTTTCATATTTAAAATCCAACTGTGGATCTCTCTTCCATAAAATTCTCACTCGTAGACTTGCAGGGTCCGCAGCAGCCTGTGGCAGGGAGGTCCGCAGCGGTAGCGGTAGGTTGTGTGGAGAACATTCTTGTGCTCTGAATTTCCAGCAGATATCTGCATGTGGTGCCTCCCGGTTTTTGCGTTGGAACAGACAGCAAGTGGTTGACTTCTGCGCTCCCTCTGCATCTCAGGATCTTACAGACAGCTCTCCTATCCAGGCTGAAAAGTCATCGCCTGTTCTGCTGCTTCTCAGTAGCTAAGAAACGATACCAAAGCTTTGACCTTTTTCCTTTCCTAGTTCTAGCTGTACCGTTGAAGCTTGGGGGATCAAGGGCAATACTGTTCAGGCTGAGCATGTCTTTCTGCAGCCTTTCCTACTACTTCCTAATGTCAGTTGGGGAAAGGGACTTGCTGCTTCTGAGCATTTATATGTCTTCCTTCCATCAAAACTATTTTAAAATCCCAAGGTGGAAGTTCTGAATGTTGATGCTCAGCTCAAGAGTCCATGCATTCATATATAAAACCAAAATTTAAGTGTTTTTTTTTCCCCAAGTCCACCACTTGACTGTGTTTTTTTTTTTGTACTTTTATAGCCTAATCACTCAGCCTCTTAAGTCCTTTTGAAATTCTTCAGCAGGCCTATCTGCTCTACCCCAGAGAAGTCATTCATTTGCAAATGCTGATGGCAGCAGCACTTTAAGCCTCATGATGATAGCAAATTCCTTCCTCACTCCCCTCCTTTTTACACATTGTTCAACTGGTCATAAATAGTTCTAATCTTCCGTTTTCAAATTTTCTGAGCCACTAGTATATTGCTATGAGTATTTGGACCTTCTCCTTGCCTGCTTTGTGCCATAAAATAACATGTAAATATTATTTTCTTAACTTTAAACATCTGATGATACAGATGGGCGATTAGTTTCGTCGGTGGGGGATGGCATTATTTCACAGTGGTTTCCAAGGATGAGCGGTAATTAATCTCATAGTATTCTCCAACATACTGTTTATATTTTTTTTTCTCCTTCACACTTGTGCCTGTTAGAAGCGCCAAGTTGTTGGAAACAAATTAACAGATTTGTGTAATTCAGTCATATCAACAACACTTTTACTGTTCTTTTGTTTGATTGATTTTGTTAAGACGGCATGGTTGTCTCTGGAAAAGTGAAAAGCAACAACCTGGATGTGAAAGTTACTGAGTCAGAGTTGGAAACTGAAGAAAAAGGAACGGAGGAAGAATCCACAAGGGAATCCGATAGCAACATTCTGGATGTGTCATCTGATTATCCAAGAGGTTTGCTAATAAACTGCAAGAATATTTGTGTTGTGTGCTTGAGGAAAGGAGGAGAAAAGGTAGAAGTAGCGGGGAGGAAAGGTAAAGGGAATGTTTGAAATAGCATTTTCCATACATCCAATAGGTAGAGATGCTTTTTCCCATGCATCTGAATAAAATATTTCCCTAAGGCATTTGAAATATCTTTCAAATGAGATGCCGTTTTCCCCTTACTAACATTTCTAGAAATCACTGTGGAAATTTGCACGTGCACAGTGACAGAAGTCAAGGTTAGATGAGGTATGATCTGCATCAGGCTCTGATGCTAAAAACACCACAGAGACCAGAGAAAATCTATTGTATCTAAGGGCAGAAATTAAAAGCTAGGAATTGCTTTTAACCCTAGCTTTAAAACTCCCCTCTGTATCTTGAGGACATTGATCAATCGCTATCTTTGTTTCACATAAGAAAACCTGAAGGCTAATCTTGTAAAAACATCTTAAAAGTTTTAATATCGCTACAGAATCAGTATTACTATAAGCTGGGTTCTTCTGTGTGCTGAAACCAATAAAGCTGATTTATTGGATAAGCTAATTCTCCTGATTTTAGAAAATTCTCCACTGTTCCTCTTGACTGATAAGTTGAAAAGGCAGGAGGTAAATGTAAAGGTTAAACAGTCTCCTAAGGGGGGGGGTAAAAAAAAAAAAAAAAGTGGTAGAATTTAATGTATCCTGACTATACAGTGTATAATTGTTACTTCCAGTTGGTCCACTTCTAGCTGGTATTTGAGTTTTGCCAGAGAGTTCACAGGATGTTTTTATATTGTTCTGTGCACGGTTTCCATTCACTGGCAATGCTGAGCAATGACAGCAGGAGTAAATGGAAAGTGACTTGATCTTTTCATCTTGTTTTTTCAAATGAAGATCTTTCCAATTTGAGAAATTTGAAGTGTGTCAGCATTAGAAAGCAGTTAGAAATAGATGGAACTTACTGAAGAACCATTCTAGGGATTAATTTTGCAGCCATTCTTCCTGCCATGGAAGTTAAAGGATACGAACAAGTATTCCAATTGGTACTGCAGTCATTCTCCAATAATGATTTGAAATGATGAATAGAAAAATAGCAGTAAACTAAAAATAATTTTTTAACTAAGAATGTTTTAACTTCTGAATATCTTTGCTTTTTAGAGAAACATATTTCAATTCAAAGACATCTTGCTGATCTAGAGAAACTAGCTGACCTGAAAGAAGGTGAGTTTACCATGGCAGTGTCCCAGAACACAGATCTTCATGTTACAGGTATTTACATTTTTTCTTGGTTTTTAACACACTACTTATGTTTATAATGCTTGAAGACTAGGGGTTTTGTTAAAAACTATGATTTGTTTCCTTGCTTATTGAATGTCATACTTCCTTCAGTAAATTTAAGGCCTTAATGATTCCTTTCCATCTTTTTCCTCTGCGTTGTGGCATTTCTAATGTTGGCAGCGTGCATGGATCAGCAAAATGTTAATTCCAGCTACACATCAGCACCTTAGTCTCATTCTTATTTTTCTTCAAGTGCCACAATAACAGGGAAGCTAATTGTTGTCTTTGCAGTGTTTAAATACCAGTTTGAATAAATATGTATTCTGTTTTGGTTGTTTTCTTTTTTTTTCCCCACTCTATTCACTTGTGATCGAGCTGTGTTGGAGGATTGCATTAAGATTGTGAAGTGGTTTTATTACAACTTTCAAGTTTTTCTTTGATTACATGTATGTATTTAGTGCTGGTAGTGGCAGCCCTTGCAACCAAAACTAATTTTTATTCACAGATCAAGAAAAACATCAGGGTCCACATACGTTCTGCAGGATATGGCTCTTGGTCCTTGATCATCTTTTAGAGTGGCCACTGATGGAAACAATAGCCTACCTCCATGTCAGTTTAATTTTCCTGACAAATAAGCCAAAAAGTTCTAAAGAGAGTTTGTTGTGTTTTTCCCAAGGAGATAGATCATATGTATCTCATAGGTCGGGTACTTAGACCTGTGGTAGTGATAAAATTCCCTTGTCTATTCTTAATAGTCTTTTTTTTTTTTTTCTTCTGACGTGGCTGTACCGTTCTGCCATGTGTGTTAATGGACTGACTTGTGCTTATTGCCATCACCTCCTGTATTTAATACTCAGTAAATCATAAGCCAATAAAAGAGGCTGATTATCATTAGAGAACGGTGGTGATTTATTTGATGAGCTGCAGGCTGCCTCTGTTGGCTTCAGTGGCATGGGAATTTGCATGAACATGGTGATCCACTTATAAAAAAAAGTAATAAAAAAGAAATTTTACTGTTGTGCAAGCCTAAGACAAGCAATTATTATTATAGATGCCCATGTCGTGTGACATGTTTCGATATTCATCCTGTACACATAGCTTTTCTGCTAAATTCTGCATGAGAGGTTGTTTGACATTCAGCAGTCTTAAGCCCCAGCAGATGTATCTGTGCTCTGATACATAATTCCTCTGTACAGCTCTACAACATAGGTCTTCCAATAGCTAGTTTTTATTTAGATTAGTACTTCAAGTGCTTCAGGACCTTTGATGTCAGATAATCTTGCCTTTGCTTTTTTGTCCCTTATGTAGGATTTTCAAGAAGAAAAATTATTTTAACGTAGATTACATTTTTTTTTTTTTCAGCTTAAAAAAATATCAGGTGCTTGTTCTATCTAAAAGATTCAGGAGGAGGAAAGACAGATTCTTGTTCTAACTTCTTCAGTCAGGGTTTTTTTGAAACACTGAAGTCTCTAGACTCCATCTATCAAGTTCTGTTATTCTGCAATACTCTTCAGAAGTTGCATTAGCCTCATGTTGCTGGAGTAAAAAATACTAAAGGTTGTAGAAGTTAATGATCTTTAGAGTAATAGTGGGTTTTGTCTATATCCTATGGAGTAGAAAGAGGCAGTCTGTAAATTTGAAGTTCATATATGCCTGAAATAGAAAATACCCTGGAGAAATAATCTTTAACTCCCACTGATAGCACCTGCATTCTTTTTTTCTCTTAACATGAGCGGTAACTGCATTTCATATGTTTCTCATACTTTTTGTTTGTTTATATCTTAAGAAGAAAAGAAGCCTTGTCCATTGTGTCCTGAGGAGAAATACAAAGCTTGCTATAGTCATAAACTCCATCGTCACCTTCAGAATTTGCACTGGAAAGTTTCTGTTGAATTTGAAGGTAACGACGATTATATTTGAATAGTAAATACTGGAAGAAATTGTGGACATGTAGGACATTGTTCTGTGTTTCATCCTTTTAAATTCCTCTTGACTTAAGCATCTTGTTACCAGCTCTGAATTAGAACCATATTTTGACATAATGCATTTTGACTTGGGATGTAAAATGTAAATGTAAAATAGCTGTATATTCTTCTACATGCCATAATAGTTACAGTTGTGCATTTTCTCATTAAAAAAAAAAAAAAAACAAAAACAAAAAAAAAAAAAAAAAAAAAAACAAAACCAAACAAGGATTGCTGGCATGTCATGAAAATTACTATCAAATTTAAAATATGTATGTAATTAAAATTACTTTAATAACAGTTTTGGTTATATTGTTAATAATTAGACACACACACGTGTGTGGTCATCATAAAGATTCCATGGTTTCAGATAAATACTTGAAGTATGTATTTAGTATCAGTATTTAGTAGCCTTCTCCGTTTTTAAACAAACTTTGTGATCTGCTTGTAAGATGCATTAAAATTCCTACAAGAAGTTTAAGAAGGAAAAGTAAGTGAGCAGTATGTGTTCTTTAAAGAACTACCTGTAGGGGCTTGCGGGAAATAAAATTACTAATTAGAAGGTGGAGAAGAATAAAGTTAAACTAAAAATGTTCTGACTGGGGTTCTGGTTTTGCGTGCATTATCAGGTGTCTTTTGGTCTTTTGTTTTCCTTTAAACTGTGGAACCATATGCCTTATAGTCTTCACACAAGTCTTTTAGCCAGGTAACAATACATTTGTATAATACTCGCAAGTACTTTTGAAAGATACACCGTATAGCCTGAAGACCCTACGTAGCTTTGCAGGATGCTAACTGGCTTACTAAAATTAATTTCCTCTATGTAATTTTTGCAGATTTTAAAATTTAAAATGTATAATTAGCTGATAAATTTCCCTGTACAGAGGGTGAATGTACCAAATAATTAGTGATGTTTTCTTACTGCGGTCTTGTGGCAGTATTTGGGAATTTTAAATGAGACCGTACGATAAGGGACATGTACATTCTGTTTACTTACTGTACTGTGATGTGACTAAAATTTGTTTTCCAGGTTACCGAATGTGCATCTGTCACTTACCTTGTCGTCCAGTAAAACCAAACCTCGTTGGAGACCAGGTAAAAATGTTGAATCACAGAAATATTTGTTACCCTACAAAGTGGGGGAAATGGGTGATTTAGGGGAACTTTTGCAATCTACTTAGCCACAAAATACATCTTGCTGTCCGGTGTGGGATACCAAAAGCTTATTGGTCCAGAATATTAGAAGTTATTGATACAACCCTTGGGTAATTGAACGCAGTTGTATCTCGCTCTTATTTTGGTGGGTGGCTGCCTAGGTCATGTGAAACCCTGTCACGCTTTGGAGTAAACAGCAGCATTGGGTGGAAGAGATGAAGGGTTCATTAGGCCAGGCCGTGGCTGCTTCTCAGTTCTTTCCCTGGGTGCTGGCTGTATGGAATACTGGCAGTTTCTCTGGCTGTGGTGCTGTGGCAGGGTAGCGGTGCTGGGCCGGCTCCGCGGGTGTGATTATTTACGCTCCCCGTGGCTGTCCGTGCAAAATGTTTTGTATGCGCTAGAGGTAACAGACAGGTGACTTCTTCGAGTGCCTGTGTTCAGGTACAGTTCTACTTTAACCACATTTATGTATTCTGAAACTACACGGATTCTATTTTACAGACTTTTTCAAAGATGGGAGCCCATTACCATTGTATCATCTGTTCAGCAACTATCGCACGAAGAACTGACATGATAGGTCATATTAATCGTCATGTGAATAAAGGAGAAACTGAATCAAGGTTTATTATAGGTAGGTTTTTACTTACATAAAAGATTCAATCCTTTTCTACTATGTAGCACATGCAATAACTATAATATGTGGGTGAGAGACTGGAGAATTACCAGGCTGGTTGGTGTTGGAATGCAGCTTGCTTATCTTGCACCCTTAAGCACCAGGCCTGATCAAGGGCAGGAGTCGAGGAACTTGCTTGTCTGGCAGAGAGCAGGCCAGGTGTGAGGGTTTGCAGTTCCAGCGCTTGGGAGCCTGGAAATTAGCAACTGAGTGATGGCTGGGGTGAAGCGGAGGCCTCGCAGACCAGTGGTGCTTCAGTTAAGCTGGAAGAACAGTTGTGTCTCTGCACCGGCCGCCTCTTTTGATCAACAGCGGGACAAGCCTTGTTAAGAGCCAATTGGCACCTGATAAATGGCCTAGCCCCACCTTGCCAAGAGCATAAGGCTGGTATTTAGAAACTGCCATTTTGAGGATGGTTTTTCTAACTATGGGATGAGTTGGCAGGCCTGGACCTCTCTCCTCAAGCAGGGACACCTCTTTGGTAGGATTCACGCCTCTGACTACGTACGTCAGATGTTAGCTGGGAAAGTGTTGTTAACTAAAGTGCTGACCTGTTAACTTGAGCTCGATTCCCGTAGTAAGTGTATTTGTCAATGGTAATTCCAAACTTGTTATATCCGTTGCTGTAAGAAGTCACCTGTCTTCTCAACTTTGCGAAACTCTCCGTGAAAGTCCTTGAGAGGGCTCTGACAGGCAAACATTGACTCTGATAAGTGGTTACAGACATAATCCTTTAGACATAAACCATTGGCCAAGTCTGGGACTAAGACTGGATCCAGCCACACCTAGACTCCTCCCTAAGGAGTTTAGAAAGGCAGGAGGTCCTTTCTGAACCTCGTGACTCAGTGGGAGGGCTTCCCTGAGACTGATACTCTAAACGTGACAGAGAAATAAGAAGAAATTCTGAAACAGATTTAGCTTTACTAATGAGAAATCTGCCCTTAATATTTCAGAGGTTTTTTTTTTTTTCCCCCTCAAAGATGTAGCGCTGTTGTGATTTAGTCTCAGTGTAATAATACTCCCTGCGCAGTTAGTTTAACGTTGTAAGTACAGGCTTCTGTGTCTCCAAAAGAATGGGGGACATGGCATCCATAAAGCAAAATCTGTACAGCAGATTTCATGCCTCTCTTTCACCATCTTTCTTCATAAAACAATCTAGAGTAAAGCTTTCTGCAGTATAAAAATCACTTTGCTTTTTATCCAGACTGCATCAGCTGGGTTCACAAAAAACAATAGTTTTTCAGTCTCAAAGAGTCATGACAGAGGTGTCAGTAGTTCTTTGGTAAATTACAATCCTACCTGACTTTTTCCAGCATTAGGCTTTTGTTTCTAAATTCGGATAAACTAGATTGAAAACATTTTAAAGAATTGGAATGGCAAATCTTGAAAATTAATTTTATTTCCTTTATTATTGCAGCTTGCGGCTGTTAAGAAAAAAGCCAGTGTGTAAAAATTAAGGTTTTTTTGCTGCAGTCCAGACTGTTACTGTTGAAAATTAGTCTGATTTCTTTGTCTCTGTGTACATGTATGGATTTTATCTAGATACAATATAGTAAAGATGATCCTGGGAGCTATGAGGTTCACACTTCTTTCTGTTACTAGTATGTGGTTTAGGAATAGTAGTTTAGTGTCTAGGCATCCCTCTGCATGTCTGAGAAGTGATAGTAATACCTTCCATACCTTTAACTTAAATAAGAGTTTATGTTGTGAAATATATTAGTCTCTGTGCGGTTCCCTTCAGAGCTGTTAAGTAAAGAATGGCCCATTTGTCATTTTTTAATAAAATGCACGTGGCTATTTTTCCTCATGGGGAGAGGAGAAATTCAGAGGTCAGATACTTCATGCTTCATAGGCGCTTCAGCGGCACTTGAGGGCTATGAATGTGTGGTGCTTCACATACACCCAGCCTGTGTGTTTGAAAGCACTGGGAGCTGGGCAGGCTGAGCACTGAAAGCTAGCTAGTTGATAGCTGACAAATTTTTCCTGGTCGTTCCTGGGTAAATTTTACTCCTGTTAGACTGGGGATAAATTGCTCAGAGGAGTGAGAGCATGCTTTTATAGCTCTCAACTCAGGAAAGTTGTTTTGCCACAGACTATCTGATAGAAAGCTTAAATGCTGAAATGGTCCTTATGCTCGTGCTGTCTGTACACATTTCATGAAGCTGTTTGATAACTTTCAGAGATTAGATCAAAGATTCGGAGGGGGTTTTGTGGTTCATTGATACACATTCCGGACTATGTTCATAGGGTTGTAATTAATTAGCAATGTATTATGGTTGAACATGCAAAACAAATGCGCTAAGCCTCGGGCTCAGGGGCTTGCTTTCTTAAATTTGAGTGGATACATAGGAGCCCAACTGAGAAGCAAATCTGATGTTTTATGGGAAGAAAATTGTGATAGATTGATCCTTATCTGCCGCTCTTAGAAGATAAATTGTTGCCTGCCTTTTTTCCCCCCACATACTCGTTAAGTGATCCATGTGCTAGTTGGGTAACAGCATAACCCAGACTTCTTGCTATATGGCAGCAAATTTCCAACTTAATTTATGAAACGTGCTAATGTTAACTTCAATTCTCACTAACTCATTCCTTCCCCCACAATTACTTTCTTTTAGTTCCTGCTCCCATGTCTTCTCGTGAAGTGCTGAAAGAGTCTGCCACAGAAGTGCGGGTTCTTCCAAACTACTCCACACCTCAGAAAACAGATTCCTACTTCAATCCCAAAATGAAACTCAACAGGTAAGAGAACAGGGAGTGGGAGGATGCACCAGGGGGGTGGCGAGTTGTAGTGAAAAACACTCGTGCACTTTGAAAAGCAAACCCTGCAAAAATTTTGTTCAGAGGGCAGGAGAAATAGTTTTCCATCAGAAAACTCCTGGCAAATAATATTTAAACCCAAGAACACTACATGGGAAATACTGCCATTTCGGAAGCAATTATGTTTTTTTCTGTAATGAGTAGTTAATGGAGAACAGGATTTGAATGGAGCATATTTGAAAATGAACTTCATTGTATACACTTAAGATGCTTTCCTGTGAATTCCACAAGATACTATGGATAGTCACTGCTCGCTCTTCTCTAACTGAACAGCAGCATACCTGTAGTTTACAGTTTTCACATTCTAGGCCTTTTTCTCTTGGGACTCAGATTCTCTCAAGTGTCTTCTCATTAGTTGCATTTTAAAAGCTGAAGGAAGAAGCATTGTTTTTTTTTTTAAGGAGAGTCGTAAATGGTGTCTGTAGCACAACTGAGAGGTGCCAGCATTGACAGCAGCGCGTGAGGCTGTGCTTCATCCAGCCCCTGCTGCCCCTTCACGTTCTCAGCGCTGTTAATATCTGAGCTTCTGGGTTCAGAGCTAGCTCAGGTACCTCTGCAAAAGTTAGGGCATGCCTCTGAAGGGAGCCGTTGCAGCTAAGGTTATGGCCATGTCTGAAAGAACAAGGCCTGTTCCTCAACACACGAATTTCATTGCTCTGCAGTAATTTCCAACATCTTTTTAAACACAGAGCTGTTAGTAGTGCAGTATCAGATTGTGCTAGGAAAGTAAGAAAACCACTATTTACTTTTGAATGCTAGGCACTTTTTCCAGTGTTAGAGTAACTGGTATATTGTTTCAGCATCTTAGCTTATGAATATCCTGCTGTAGAATTAAACTTTTAAGGATAGTTGAGGTTTTTGATTTACAGTTCTTCCGTGTAAAAGGTAGAGTTTACCTTAAATGTTATGTTAATATGTTCAAGGGAAATAAGTAAGGCAAAATACCTTCTCAACTTACTTACTCTGACCATTCTTTTTTCTTTTCCAGGCAGTTGATACTCTGCGCACTAGCCGTTCTAGCTGAGGAACGTAAACCGATAGAATGTTTGGATGCTTTTGGTGCCACTGGTAAAGTCAATGTCTTTCATCTTTTGGCCAATACCCCGTAGTACGAAGCTGCAAAAATCAGTAGTAACTGACATTGTGTATTCAAAAATAACGTGAGGTACAGAATAATTTTCTTCCTTAGGCAGGCAGTCATTAGCCTACATACAAAAAAACCCCATCTGTCAAGAGCCTGGTATTAGGCCTTTTAAAAAGACTGTGAATAATATTAAATCAAAGTTTAGCGGTCTCCTTAAAATCAGTTGCCATGAAATGGCATCTTCCTAAACTTGCATCGAGGGTCACAGATCTCTTGTGCCTTTGTGACTGTGGAATTTGGCTGTAAAATCAGCGCGTGATTTTAAAATGGTGATGAATCCAAGCTTCTTTATCAGAAACATCTCTTCACTGATTATGAAAATTCTGACCGTGAGCTAAATGTAGTGACATTAGTGTCTGTTAAGCATCTGGAATAAAAATCTGAAGAGATGTGGATTGCTGTCTCATAATCAGACAGCTACTGTAAACTTAAAGTCATAGTTGAGACCAGCAATAACTGCTTAGCGTTTTGCATAAAAATTCCATTCTGAACTAGGCCAGACTTCACAAGTGCATCCCGTCCTGCGCTTCTACGATGTAATCATAGACTTTACTATGGGAGTCAGCAATAAACGCTTGGAGTCAGCCTAAAAATCTTCACAGCACCTACTCTCGTGTTTGTGCTTTACGGCGGTCTCTCACAGGAGTCCTCTCTGCTGCACTGCAGTGTTAAAGAAGCCGAGGGGCTTTCCTGCAGATTGTGGGTCCAGCTTCCTGCAAAAATCACAGGTCTTTCAGTCTGTAGCCCTAATTATCATATAAGAAGGTGACAAATCGACTGTCCCTTTACATACCCCTTTGTCGTACTGTGCTGAGGCAGAAGGTCAGCAACACATTTTTGCAGGAACATGACAAAATTTGCATCACATTCACTTCTGTATTTATAAACATTTTAAATGATGAATTCTATTCTTAGCAAGTTCAGCAACCCAGAAACCAATGCCTTACTCTGTCACGGAATTAACACTTCTGTCTTTCCTCAGGTATAATGGGATTACAGTGGGCAAAGCACCTCAGAAGTTCTGTGAAAGTTACAATTAATGATTGTAACGAAAATTCTGTGACAATGATTCAGGAAAACTGCCATTTAAACAAAATGAAGGTGAAACTGAACACTAAGGAAGAAGAAAATGATGAAGCTACGGGAGATGGACAAGAAAGTACTGACACCATTGAGGTGACAAAAATGGATGCCAATGTTCTAATGCATTTGAGATCATTTGATTTTATGTAAGTGTTGAATGTTTCTGTCAATAATCTTCTGGTTTGATACTGACACACTCCACCCCATCTCCCAGTGGATGCTTATTTAGGGTAGTTGGAATGAAAGAATCAACCAACAGTCACTTGGTATTTTAAATGTAATTCTGTAGTTCCAGAAACGGGCGGGAACAGAATTTTAATCTTAAATGTTTTAGAAATCACTGGAAAAATAATAAGCCTTTCTGACATCCAGAATGGACTATATATGTACGTGACAATTTTAAGGCAAGCTATTCTTTTTATAGTGTCATTATCTGTTTGATAAAGAGAAATGTCAGATTAGTGTGGTTTTGGTTTCTTTTTTTTTTTTTTTTTTTTTTTTTTTTTCCTTAAAACTTTTCATAGAATCACAGACTGGTTTGGGTTGGAAGGGACCTTAAAGATCACCCAGTCTCACCCCCCTGCCCCGGGCAGGGCCCCCTTCCCCCAGCCCAGGGTGCTCCCAGCCCCGTCCAACCTGGCCTTGAACCCTTCCAGGGAGGGGGCAGCCACAGCTGCTCTGGGCACCCTGGGCCAGCGCCTCACCCCCTGCACAGGGAACAATTTCTGCCTTAGATCTCACCTAAATCTGCCCTCTGGCAGTTTAAAATCATCACCCCTCGCCCTACCCCCACACCCCTGATCCAGAGTCCCTCCCCACCTCTCCTGTCCCCCCTTTAAGCCCTGGGAGGCCGCTCGAAGGGCTCCCCGGAGCCTTCTCTTCTCCAGGCTGAACCCCCCCAACTCTCTCAGCCCGGCCCCCCAGGGGAGCTGCTCCAGCCCCCCCAGCATCTCCGTGGCCTCCTCTGGCCCCGCTCGAGCAGCTCCGTGTCCTTCTGCTGTTGGGGGCCCCCGAGCTGGCCCCAGCACTGCAGGGGGGTCTCCCCAGAGCGGAGCACAGGGGGAGAATCCCCTCCCTGGCCCTGCTGCCCCCCCTGCTCTGGCTGCAGCCCAGGGCACGGGTGGGTTCTGGGTAATTCGTTTAAAATTCATACATTTGCATGTTGTGTAGGACTTTATTGCATCTCTTGTTCTAATCCATTTTGCAGCACGTTAATTTCAATTACAGTGGGCTAATTCGTCTCAATTTGGGTTTATAGATGCATACATTCAAAACCTACACAGACACCAAAATAAGTGGTTGAAATGTTTTTGTATCAATTAAGGTCCAGATCTAAGCAGCAGGTATTCAGGCTGAAAATTAGGCTAATTATTTAGTATGTAAACTGGAATGCATACATTTGAAGATACTTTTGGTTTTAGAAGTTCCCCTTTGGTTTAAGGATGAAGATAAGCATCTGGCCAATGTTCTTGTAACTTGAATTCATCGGTTGGTCAGGATGCAAAAAAAGTACTTGCTGGATTTGTGGTGATGTGTATTTTCCAGCACAGCTCTTCCCTGGCTCTTGCAATCTGACATTTCTGTATTCCAGAGTAGTTCATGAGAGGCGTGCTGTAAATTTTAGTCTCGTCTTCTTTTGTTTTAAATATGATCATAGGTGAAGATTATAAAATAGTGTTTTCTTCAGTTTTAAGCTAAACTGTTCAGCCTTTACTGACACTCAGTGGCTCCTTTCTTTTCAGCCATCTGGACCCCTTTGGAACTTCTGTGAATTATCTGGATTCTGCCTTTACCAATGTGAGAAATTTTGGAATTGTGTCATTGACCTCCACAGACATCAGTTCTCTGTATGCAAAGGCTCAACATGTTGCCCTGCGTCATTATGGGTGTAATATTGTCAGAACAGAGTACTACAAGGAACTGGCAGCCAGAATAGTAATTGCTGCTGTGACAAGGTACTGCTAAATCAGCTCAAATGATGGAAAAAAAAAACCAAACTATTAGTTATTAGTGATAAAAATTTATAGACCTGCTGCTGTAGGTTGTACATGTTCCGTTTCCAGGATTCCCTAATTCTAAGAGCCAGACTTCTGGATACAAAATGAATGTTTGATGTTTTATGTGTGCTGCTATGGGATAATGTAAATTTTAACCTAAAAGACTGGGCAAGGTGAAAGTGCCTGAATAAGGCAGAGATGGTGGGGAGCGCTTTTGGTGATGGGGAGAGATAGTAACCCAGACTTGCCTATCTGCCAACTCTTCTATTCCTCTCTCAATTTTGTCATTTTAGTGCTGCACAGGACTTTGGAAATATGAATTAAGCTGCTTGAATGGCTTCTACCTAAGCATTAGTTAGACTTGCTTCAGTGGGAACTGATGCTCGCTTCAGATCCTCGTGCTTGAGGTTAAAAAGATAGATGTAATTGCTAACTTGGGAAATGAGTCATTTGCATATAGATATTCTCAGTAAATTCAGTCTGTTAAATAAATGAAGACATAAAACCTGGTCCCTAATTGGGGAAAAGAAGATTGAGGCAAGAGGATGGGACAGCTGCTGGGGAAAGGTGGTGAGGAAGTTAAGCGCCCAGAGGTCTCCAGAGCGCCGGAGCACAAATGCTGACCTGAATATGTTTAGATTTTACTTCCCTGTCTCCCTGCATCTGTGAAGTTGCTCCCTGCAGAATATTCTCAGATACAGACATGCTGCTCAAGCGAAGTTTCGATTGTGTTCTGGGTTATGTGTTCCATCTCCCCAAAGACTTCTCCTGCCTCTTCAGTGCTGACCTATTCAGGAACTGCTCACTTGCTGTCGCAGAGTCCTTATTCAATTAACATTTGATGATTTACCATCACGTGTGTCCCTCTACATTTCTACTTTCTCAGATTTTCATTTAGTTTCTCTATATTTTTTGTTACAATATCCTGGCAGTAGGTAGGTATTTGGATAGAAAGATGATGCAGATGGCGGACCAATATTTCTAGACTTGACAAAAAAGTAAAATGAGATTTGCTTAGCCTTACAGGAAGTAGACAAAACTAGGCACTTGGGAAACACCACTTTCTTGACTCTTTAGTATCTCTTTCTAGAAAGTGGGTGAGCTCAAGAATCTCTCAGCAGGTTCAGGTGTCTGTGGCAATCTTAGACTGCTGATTTCAGTACAACCCGCTTTTGTATTTTTTTTTCCTTCACAGAGCTGCAGCTCGCTGTAACAAAGGCATTGATGTTTTACTCTCGGTAGCTCTAGAACATTTTGTTCTAGTTGTGGTCAGAGTTTTAAGGGGACCAACCCCTGCGGATGATTCAGCAAAGAAAGTGAGATACCTCATCCATTGCCAGTGGTGTGAAGAGAGAATTTTTCAGAAAGAGGGTAATATGGTGGAAGGTAAATGGATTTTCCCTTGTACTTTCTAGAGGGTCTGATTCCTGTATCTCCACTTTGTGCTTGTTTTAGGCCTTGTTTATTTTTACATCCCTTTAGTAAACTAATAATTCCCTTCAATGTAACAATGAGTGTGGTGCACGAGGTGGAGAAGGTATCTCCACCCTATTGTAGGAGGTGGAGACGTTACCGTGCTTTATGGTAGTGGGTTTGATTAGTTGTCTGCCTGGCTTTTGCTATAAATGTACTGGATGTTTCTAGACAGGATGTATTCCAACTCGGTGTAGCTGCTGAAGCTGCCGGGATGCTGGTACAGCCCTGGGTCTGCCCCTTCCAGTGAAGGGCAGGAAGAAGGGGCCAGGCTTTGCTACTGTTTGGCTTCTCCACACCGTGGCAGCTCGATAGATTCTGGGGACAGATGGCTTTGCTACTGTTCGTTTCAGTTACTCTAAGATGTAGTGGACTAAAGAGCGTGGCTTCCCGCTCGGGTGAGGGGGCACCCTGCCTGTGCTGGAGGAACCTGGGCAGCGCTCCTGTAAATCCACCCAGCCCTTGGGGGGAGGTGAAGGCAGCCCCCCCGGTGAGAAGCTGGCTGTTTGTGGGCTGTCTCTGTACAGGAGTTAGCAGGGGTTGGAGTCAAACATCACGGCAGGAGGTAGCTACTGGCCAGATGGTAGCTGGAATGAATATAAAGGAAAAAAAACCTTGTTTCAGAGTTACAGGTTTGTGGCTGTCAGCTACTAACTGGTGGTGTCTTTACCCTGCTGAAAGTCAGGTGCAGGAGCACGCAGTGAGCTTTGGAAAGGTTTTTAAAACCTTAGGTAAAGTTTTAAGAACAGAAATGAGTAACCTCTAAGTACAGTGTTATGGTAGACATTTTCATTAGTAAATGAATAGTTTACTCAATGCCTTACTTGCAAGTGAGCTGGCTTACAGCTTAGAAAACTCGTAGGTGGGCTGTATCTTGTAGGTGTACCTGGCTGATGTCTGAAGTTCTTCTTGTTATTCACCGTTCACCTGGACAGCTACTTACATTAGCACAGGAAGGCTAGCAGCTTCGTTGTTACTTGACATCTGCCAAGAAACATAGGAATTCTGTGGCTTTTGGGGTTTAACAATGATTAAAGACCCAGTTGTCAATCACTAAATTCTGAGGAGCGCCGCAGGGCAGCAGGGAGACTGGCGTCACGCTGCTGCTGTTGCTTCCCCTGCCGAGTATCTCCGCTGAAGTAAGCTGTGACTTCTGCCTAGGTCATCTCCCCAGCGACGCGTAGGCACTGCTGACTACTGCAAAACAACTTAAATCCTGTTTTTTCTGTCGTAGAAAACCCCTACCAGCAGCTGCCCTGTGATTGTCACGGCAGCATGCCTGGGAAGACGGCAGTGGTGCTCGGCCCTCTCTGGTGAGTACAGAACACGATACAGAGCTGGAGAAGAAAAGCAGGTTGGAAGGACCTCGGGAGGTCAGCTCTGCAGGGGGACAATAAAAACGCAAGTCCGCTAGATATTTTAGCACTACAAAAGGCATCGGGAGGCCTAAAAGCAATGGGGAGCAATCCAGGAAATGTTTAATTGATTTTGATTTAGTAGGATATTCAATTTTTGCTTTTTTTTTTTTTCCATAGAGTTCAAACTGGTTAATAAATAATAAGAAATTTACTTTAGATTCCACATTCGGTGCAACTTACATAGTAAATCCTGCACCGGAGAACCTGGCTGTGTGTTCCTCTAGCTGCCAAATGTTAAGCAAGTTTGTTACTTGATACTTGGGGAGAATTTATTTAGTAAGTCCTCACGTGTGCTGATGGTAGTAAATAATGCACTGCTTGGTAATTAATACTTAGAATTTTCTCCTGTGAGACACAAGAATAAATCCTTTTGTTAAGTTTTTGAACCATTTCAAAGCAGTATTAAAAACGGTTGACAATTGACCGGGCCTTTCTCGTGGCGGTTAAATTACTTTCTCAGTGTAGTAGGGCAGATCAGTGGAAATAAAATTACTGTTGTGGAGATCTTGATTTTTAACACGAGCCCAATGTCCCTGCCGCTGGAAACGAAGCGGGTCAGCACTGCTAAGTTAGGAGCAGAGCCTGGGGCAGCACTGGGGTGATCGAACTGCCGATCAATTCGGGCGAGAGGTTTTTAGAGCAACTTCTTTGCTTTCATTAAGAAGTTTTAACTTTTTACTTGTCTTGTATTTCATAGGTCAGGAGCCCTCTTCAACACTGGGTTCCTCAGGAGAATGGTTTTTGAGGCTGCCCATTATGGTTTGGATGAAGCTCAGTCACTTTTGAAGACGTTAGTTTGCGAAGCTGAGTGCACAACCTTAAAACATTATTCTACTTGCAGTTCTTATGATGAGAACAAACAAGGTAAGCAAAGTGGCAGGCTGGTCACAAAGAGGACGGGCTCCGTGGTGATTTAGAGAGCTGCTGCTGCTCTTTGGTAACTTACTACTAGCAGCAGCGTATACGTGAAAAGGTCAAGAAAATGTTGCTTTGAACGCAGCGTGGGGCTGACCACCTCTGGTCAGATGTTCCCTGGTGGCGCAAGGAGCGCGGGGTCTGTCGGAGGCAGAGGGCTGGCTGTGGAGAGCTTTAAGCAGCGTGACGGGTCCTAAACCACGTAACCGTAATGCAGGCAGGCTGCCTGCCGTGAAATCCAGCACGTTCCCCGAGGGAGATGGAAACGCTGAGTCTCTGCCAGGTCCTTGGTGTATCCCGATGCCAGCCTGCGCCTGTGCTGCCGGGAGGCGAGGACTCCGGCTCTCCGGCTCTGCATGCTCCGCAGGGATTGCAGAGCAGCGCGCCAAAAGACAGGGCTTTCCGTACGGGAATGCTCTTCTGCTATGAAATGAAACTCTGTTTTAAATATCCTCTCTAAATTCAAGTTACTACGTAGAAGTTACCCGTACCGTCGCTTTTTCCTACACTTCCTTCTTTAGGCCAGAATGCGGTATTTCTTTCTGTTTGACCAAGGCATTTTGCCATTTTACTGTCTTACAGTAGAGTTAATTTTGACTTTTAATTGTATTCTAGAAGAGTGTGGCGTATATATTAAAACCCCAAATACTTCTGCAGAATTCTACTTGCTACATGGTAAGTAGATCATTTTGGTGTAGCTCTAGCAGTTTCAAATTAAACCATAGTTTAAGTGATGGCTAAGCCAACTGAGTGTTCACCTGTTCTTTTTGTATTTAGTAATACTGGTAGCCAGGATTTATTTTCCCACTGAACACTGGTTTTACTTTACCTTCATCGAGAATCAGTCACTGGTGAAAGCAGAATGCTAAATACTCCATGCAGCCTTCTTGACTTCATGTTTTTATTACTGAAAATGGCGTGTTAATTAAATTCAGGCTAGGTTTTAACTCCGCACAATAGGAGCTTATAAAAGCAGACACAGAGGTGTAGTTGCTACGTGGCTTTTTTTTTTTTTTTTTTTTTGCATGCACTTTAGCTTCACTGGCATTTTTTGTGGTGGTTTCACTGAAATTTTTTGTGGTCCAGGAAAAAGAAAAACCGATGAAGTGATTCCAAATGCAGCCAAGCGACAAAAATCGGAGAGCAGTGCTGAGCACCCTGCGTTTTACTACAATGTCCACAGACACAGTATCAAAGGAATGAACATGCCAAAGTAAGGTTTTCATTGAAGTGCCAGTCTTGCATTATTATGACAACTGATAGATAACGTGTATTGAATCAGCCTTATTAGCATTAGCTTCTTTTGAAACGTTTTGGTGATTTTTTTTTTTTTTTCCACCTCCCCCCCTCCAGGTTGAATAAGTTCTTAAACTATCTCTGTGAAGCTGGATACAGGGTAAGCAGAACCCACTTCGATCCCATGGGAGTGCGCACGAACGCGCCGCTGGCGCAATTCAAGACTATCCTAATGAAGTACAGCACCCCCACGTACACGGGGGGGCAGGCCGAAGGGCCCTTCCACCTGCCCGAAGGTGTCCAGGCGGGGGAGCAGGTTCAGGCTGCCGCAAACAGCAAGGCAGAAGAAGAGGCTGAGTTTCTGGATTATGATAGATCGGGAGTTGCTGCCACCATTTTCACAACAGACTGCCCTACTTACTGTGCAGCCGATTAAGGCGAAGCGTTTTGCTCGTAGAGGAGGATTTTACAGACCGGCAAGCACACCCTCTTCAGGCAAGCCAGTGCTCCTTACCCAACTGGCTGTTGAAAATTTGCGCTGCCCGCTGTTTTAAGTTGAGATGCCTTTTTAGGATTACGTAGCAGAACTTGCCCCTGATCACAGCATGTGTGGTCACGGCACTGTCGCTGCAGGCAGCTCTCCGAGCCAGTTCCTCACTTTTTACTCCCCATCCCCTTTCACACGGCAGCACTGGGGCCGCCCTGAGTCTTTGTTAAAGCCTTACTGCTAGCACAGAACCCAGAGGGCTGGACGGGGCCAAGAGTCTTAAGCGGTTCTGAACACGAGGTTTAGATGAAAGGGAATATTCCTCAAATGAATCATTCCTAAATCCTGCCTGGTTACAGTTCGGGGCGAGGCCGGGTGGAGGCGGGAACGTGGGATCTGAGTTTCAGCAAGGCGGAGGGTCCTGGCTCCGTCCCTTCTCGCTCCAGAGCGCACGTGGACTTGGGCAGTGGGTTCTGGTTTCGTAGCTCTGCCTCTACGAGCCAGGGCCCAGCACCAGGGAGATGGGATGGGAACTGGCTCCAGGGCTGTCGCTGGAGCTCCCTCCAGCGCGCACGCCGCGGCGGGGTGTCCCCCCCCACCCTGTCCCGGGTAGGTGTTTGTTCAGAGAGCACAGCTGGCTGGGCACTGCCTGGGCGCAGCGACGAGGCGCCACACGTCGAGGGGCGAGGGGAGGTTTTGCTGTGACTTTGTCAGTGATACAATCTTAGCTGTCGCAGAGATCTGTGAACAAAGCAGAGATGCCGTGTGCTGGTGGTCGGTTCTGGTTTCCTTAAATACATGGCAGCATTCCAGCCAAATAAGCCTGACTCCGTCCGTTCTTCCCCCCAAACTTTGTGCGTATGCCGCCGGGGTAGTTCACTTGAACTGGGAACAGCTGTCCCAAATGAAGTTGTTCCAGTTTTTCACAGGTTTGGGGTTCAGCCTGGCCCCCAGTTTTGGGTTTATCCATGAGCAGAATATGAGGGGGTTATTATTCTTCAGTATCCACCTCTGAAACTTCCCAATAAGAGTATCGCTTCTCTCTCACTGGGTGCCAGCCAAGAGTAAGGTGACCGATCCATTCCTGATGATGCAAAACTTCCTAAACCTCCCGTCAGGCCAGAATGAAGTCACTGCCTTTTACACCATCTTAAATTCAGGACTGCTTCGGTAATGAATTCTTTGCATCCTCTCCTAATTGGATGAAAAAGAGGAGACCGCTGGAGGGATAATACATTGCACTGCAACAGTGATACAGCAACAAACAATGTTTTCTTCAAAAATGTAGTGCCCATGGTTCTTGGGATCAAACTGGGAAGATAAACACAAGGAGAAAGAAAAGTTAGTGCTCCCTGGCCGTTCTGAACTGGTTGGGGGGTTTTTTGGTTGGTTGTTTTTTGGTTTGGTTTTTTTTTTTAAGCAGAGTGACTGTTGGAAGGTTTTGCTTGCAGCTAATGTGCTGCTCACTGCAGTCTTCATGTAAGTGGGATAGGACCAGTCATAAAGTCACTTAACTAGAGCAAAAGAGAGTGCTCCAGTTACAACAGAGTAGGCTAAAAAGAAAGTTTAACTGAAGCCTGTTGTGGGAAATACTTTTGATGACTTACGCTGCTCCTCCTCAGTAGTGGAACATAACTGTGTGTCTTTTCCAAATCAAACTCTTCCTTGGTGGTTGCAGCTGGGCAGCAGGAGGGGCAGAGAAAGTGACAGTTCAGGTTTGTCCCTAGAACTCAGTTTTTTTTCCTCTGTCAGATGGGCAGAAGCGGCTGTGACGAGGGCTGAGGGGTTTTGCCTCAGGTAAGGGCCCGGCAGAGGCGGGGGGTTGCGGCTCAGGCCTACAAGAATTCTCTTTCTGTTCAATAGTTGGCTCAGTTCTTCATCAGGTCGGGTCAGTCCTGCACTAACTAGTTATCAGAAAACTAGTGCTGGTTCCAGGCTGTGGTCTGGGGGCTTCTCCTTGTTATTTCTGGATTCTCTTAGAAGGTGGGACTAGCAGGTTGTCCCGGTGCTGAACGGAAGGTGGGTTTGGGGAACACGCCGCCTGCTTGGTTGTGGCTCCAGCCCCGCAGCGCGGAGCTGCCCTGAGCTCCCTGCGTAACCCACAGCGGGAAAGCGATTAAACCAAAGTGGGATAATACGAGAATTGGCAGCGAGGTTACCGCTGATTCTTGTGAAATTCTTCAATACTTGGTGTGGTGCTTGGCTCTGCGCCGCTTTCCCCCGAAGTCGCTGGGTTTACCCTGAGCGCCGTGAAAATCCTTCACAGCTCCTTTCTCGGGCGGCCAGTGAGCACAGCGGCACCCCCGAGGGCTCTCGGGAAGAGCTGCTCTCTAGCTCTAGCTCGCTCTGGCTCTCTCCGACGTGCCCCTCCACCTCTCACTGAAGGGCTGTGACACCCCCAGCAGCTCCCCTCCCAGCGCTGGGGGCCGGGCTCGCCCCCGCGCCGCGCCAGCCAACAGCCAGAAACCAGCCACAGGGGTTCGCTGGTGAACTGGGAGAGGGAGCAGCACTGGAATTGGCAATAGGTTGTTGGTAACATTTTTGCTTTTGTTGTCAATTGGGGGTATTTCAGTGTGACTTTAGTCGGGTACTAGAGCCGTTAGGCTTACCCATGATTAACACACCTTATGTACTTCAAAAATAACAGGGCTTTAAAAGGTGGAAGGGTAAAGTCATTTTGAAAATAAGTTTGTAGCACTAAAGAGCCACAGTGCAATCAATGGTTTAATCAAACAACTACATTATATATATAATATTTAAAGAACATAAATATTCAGTAAATTCACTACAACATGTGAAAATAAAAGCTTCACATTCTCCCACGTTTTTTAAAGAACTGGGGACAAAGTGACAGACAGCTCCTAGACAGACTGCTCAGCTTCACAAACACCTCTTGCTTGAGGGACTGGACATTACCTTAGCTATCACAACGGGAAGGTAGGCTGCAACTAATCTAGAAGTTTCCCCATAAATTTTAAAGCATTTATAATCACGGCTCCCCCACCCCCCAGATTATAGTCAGTGGACATGCACTACTAGTCTATACAATGCAACATTTCACCAGAAAGTCATGAATAACACGTTTCCTTAAAAACTGCCCGCTCTGTGTTCTGGGGCCTGAAAGCTTCCATTTCATGTCACAAAAACCCCAAGTCTTTCCAGACAGAGAAAATAATGAAGTTACCCAAAGAAGCCTGTGCAGTTTTCACATCGGGATAAAGCTGATCTGAAAGAGCAGCGGAACGGACACCTATGTACAAGTGCTAGGCTGGAAAGGCGGAAGCGACGGGAGGCGCTTCCTCCCCAGGAGGATCCCCGGGCGTCAGAACGCTTGCGTACCACGCGCCACGGTCGGGCTAACCACGGGCAAGACCGAAGGAACACCACCCCATGGTTTCAAGTATATTACTTCTCACCTATCCGCGACGGTTTTTGCTTCTAGCTTCGGGTGCAGAGGGGCGAAGGCTTCATCTGCACGTCTTCCAGCAAAGGGAAGCTCTGGGCGATGACGTCCCTCCCCTTGAGCCCAAATGCCGACGGGTAAAGCGACCCCCGCTGAGCGCCAGCAAGGTCCGGAGCGAGGGGCGAGGAGTTTTAACATGCAAATCAACAGTAGCTGCTGGACTTCCCACGCCAGCCTACTGCCAAGTTTTAAAACTTGAACCTAAACTTAAGACACTAAATGGTAAACTTTGTCAAGTACTAAAATTGTCTTCCAAAGTGCTAAGCCACATTTGTTAAAGCTATGGCAAAAAAAAAAAAATAACAAAAAAAAAAATTTAAAAATATAATCTTTGAGCAGCTTACGGTTGAAGTCCTCCCTACTCAAACTGAAGCCCGGATAAGCTCGCAGCTAGGGCAGCACAAATTCCATAAAGCAAAGCATTTCCACGTCGCATTATGTCCGTGTGCTGGAATTTGGGGGATTTGCTTTAAAATGTCCTTTGCAGAACATTCTAATACATTCACCATAAAACCCTTTTATTGTAGGGAAGAGAGCAGGGCTGTCGAACTTCCAGGTTTTCTTCGGTTGCGCTGGCAAGGCGGGCAGCACCGCGGCTGGGGCCGGAGGGGGAGCTGCTGGCAGGTTCTGCGCAAGGAGGTTAGCGGGTTTGGGCTGTTTGGGGGATTTTTGACTGAAATATTTGTTAAAAAGCAAACCAACCTCCTGAATCACCTTGCACTGTGAAGTATTAAGCCCAGTGAACAGCAAGGTTTTAAAGTGTCAGTTTCCTCGCTACAGCTCTACTTGCTCATAATAAAATGACTAATAAATCTTTTCTAGGGAATCAGATTACCTCCAGCTGCAAGACTATCAGAAATCAATTCTCTACCAATCTTTTATATGGATAACCATTAGCAAATTACAACATTTAACACGTTCCTTGGCATATGTTACTTTTGAATAGACTTACTTAGCCATCCAATGCTGGGTACTTCACAGAGGCTACTATAACTGTGTCAAATGTATTAGAAATCCAGATTTACCTGGACAAAAATTAAGACATTCCAAACTGGAACACTCGTTCGGTTATCATGCATTAGGAACAAAAAAGCATGTCAAACACTGGAACGCACTGGAGAAGGTCATTTAGTCTCCTAGGGAAAAACCAAAAACCCAGAACAAAGACTAAATTAAATACAACCCAGAATACTGTCTAATCATATTGATAAGTGTACCGAGAGAGCCTGAAGGCATCACTTGTATCATCCATGAAGATAATGGTGGTGCCTTGTAATATTAAAGAAGTCAGAGCTATAAAAAGAGTTAGTCCCATCTCAGTTTTCCAGCACAGCTTATTTATGTTCCTTTGTTGGTGCATAGTACAGTTCCATGGGTTTGTTCACTTTCCAGTACTTCTCACTGACCAGTTCCAAGGAAAAGGACCCATTTAATACCTAGAAGAGAACACCAGAACAGAAACTAAATAAATCCGGTGGCTTGCACAGGTAGTGCTGCAGCAACAGAACAACTACTGAAATCAGAGGAACTTAAAGGAGTCACCGATCACGTGGAAGCAGGTATGAGCTAACCCCTGGGCATCGAAAAGCAACAATGCAAGCTCTGCTGAGCTCCGGCTGGTCGCACTGCAACAGCACCGCAAACCACTTCTGCAGTGTGCACACAGCTGCAGATGAGGGTGAACTGCAAACGGCGGGCGTGGGAGATGTGTATTTACAGCAGAAGCATCTCCGCTTTCGTCCGAGGGACCACCTGTAGCCACGGCTGAAAGCTCTGACCCAGACTCCTGCAAAGCACCTGCCTCTCTCTTAGCCAGAAGACTTATTTCATTTGGATGAATGCCCACGTGGAAGACCAGGCTCAGAGCTCAATCTAACCCTGACAGTGCCTTGCTGTTGTACCTGGATATCCTCAGGTCAGCAACCGAGAGGAGGGATCCTTCCCTAGGGGTACTCACAGCTCTCTCACAGCAGAACATGAGAAGCCTACACAGAAGTGGACAAACGCCACCTTACAACAGACGTCTCCCGGTGCTAGAGCTATCTGCTCTTGAAACAGGATTCTCAGATGAAGTATGATTTGTCCTCTTCAATTTTAACTGTAAAATAAGGGCGTAAGTCAGCTAGCATTTGCTGGCATCACTGGATTTTTCCCAAGTAATTTATGTGCCTCCTTTTCTACTAACAAAGCTTTTGCTGGATATAAAGCAATTGATCTGCTTCTAAATAAAGAACCTGGTGCTATGAATCTTTCCCCTAAGCCAACTCAGGAAAAGCCCAGCTGAGTGGATTTTAAATCAAATCTGAGCAAAATGCTCAGCTTTACTCTTGGACAGAAGTTGTACTTACAGTGAACTGCCCGTTGGCAGTAGCAATGTAAATGGTGTACTGCTTCTCACTGGCCGTGTCGAGGTTCATCTGGTTTGATTCTCCTTTACTACGAAGCTCCTCCAAGGCCAATCTCACAGCTAGGTACTTGGACAAGTGATCAACTGTGGCATTGCCTGAGGTCTTGATGTATCTGTGACAACAGCCACAAAGGTAATCAAAGCCATCCGAGTTACAGGTATGAGAAAAAGACGTCTGGAACACCACCAGATGTTAATCATCAAGTGTGAAAGGTCTTTAAAGACAGTTCCCAAACAAGGCTCTTCATTGCTTTCACCCAAGGCAGGCAAGCAGCTTACCAAATTGTATTATTCCAAAGCACCCTTACGTCTTTTGGACACTTTCCCCCCAGGCCCTCCTGCTCTTCGTAGAGAGAAGACAGACCTGCTCTCTCATCTGCTCAAAACGAAACACCGAGTAACAGGTTGCCAATGGGGTTTGAGAACTATTCACAACTGCTGAAATCTTCTCCCAGATGCTGTCTGGGCCCTCCAGACTTTAAGTTGTGAGGTGCAAGAGCTACACCCGCGACACACTGCACCTCGTTAAAGTTACTCTATTGTCTCACTATCTCTTCTCACTTCAATTCTTTGTGCAAGAACTAAAGGCTGACACAAATGCTGCAGAGGCTCTCCCAGAAGCTTAGTTTTCTCTTTCTTTGCCTTTCAGAATAATCCCCAGAACTCCCTTGCAGTTCCAAACCAAAAAGAAAAGCTGGCTGAAGCTTATAATATATTTATAGGCACTACACAGAGATGTCTCATCAGGAGAGAAAGCCAGGAAGAGATCTGAGGAAACTCCACGAGACTGCTCATTGCTGTGATCCAAAATTTGTAGTCTGTGCTTGGACTGGATCACAAAAAAAAAAATGCCAGGAAAAGCTTCCAGCCTACAAATCCTGCTGACACAGAGCTGCTCTGAAAACTGCTGACACTCATGCAAGGTTTGTTCATTCCCAAAGAATCTTACAATAAGTAGGAAGGGGCTGATATTATACCATCATCCTAGTACCTACTGTGAATTGCAATGCTAGAAACCTTTAAAATCATCTTTCTTTGAGATCAAAGGCTTAAAATAGATTCTTACTGTATTCTTGATAATAGTTGAGCAGCACTGTCTACCTGACTTGCAATGGCAAGAGGGAAAGAGCGCATTTCGTAAAACAGGATGTGGTATGTCTGAAGTAAATTGATTTTAAAAAACCCCAAGGAGTGACAGAAAACAAAAGCACCAGAAAATAACAGCAGAGCACATGGAGAGGAGTAGAAGGCGTTTACCTCGTCTGGGCACTGTCATCGTTCTCCATGAGGGTGGGATGAGGCCTGAAGACTAACTCGATTTCACTAGCGCCATCCATCACGGGGTCGATTGCCACGGGCGTGTTGTTATTGTCCAGTTCTAGCCCAGAATCATCCGATGTTTTGGTCCTCTTATTACTAGGCCCCGCTTCCTGGTTGCTGTGTGTTGAGGCATTGCTACAGTGCGAACTGTCACCGTTATCTTCTGCTCCGCTGCCATTCTCAATCTGTTGTTTCTTGCCCCTCTGTAGCCTGATCAGAAACGGGTAGAAATGAACGGTAACCCGCCCTCAGCGCTCACCCGGCGTACGGAGCCACAGTGCTCGCGCAACTCCTCCCTCTCCCAGCCTCCCTCACGCCAGGAGTTAGGCACAGGCACACACAGGCACTAAACGTTTCAGAGATATTTAAAGTTGGGGGGGGTTTTAAATAAATAAATTAATTTAAAAAAGCATTCCTTCTTCTAAAGATACTTGTAGACAAGATTGGATTTTTTCCCATCCCTCAAACACGTTTTAGTCATATTTTAAGAACATTTTTAACATCGTACAATTACTTTTATTTTTCAGGCAATTTCTGACCATTATTTTCATCTAAATACGAATCCACACCTGGTTAAAGATATAAATCACACCATGCTTCACCACAACATAAAGTCTGGGGCCTCCTTCCCAGCTGGCTCCCTTAAGTTTCAATGCACACCCAGAATTTCACTCCTGTGTAAACACCATCTATTCCAGCCTTGTGAATTAAGTCACAGTTAAAAGCCAAGTTCTGGCATTACGTGCGTTTATTTGCACGTAACAGTAATACGCTGGTACAGAATTCATTGTATTACAGTTTATTCTCTAAGACACAATAGCCATTATTTGGTAAAGCTAAGCTGAAATCTGCTGTCTACATCAGGCTGCCACAGAGATTGCCGGGAGCGATACAAAGGTTTCTGTTAGTAGAGAAACGCTGGAGAATTATTTTGCCAAAGGTTAAAAATTATTTTGTCAGACTTCAGAGGAGAGAAGAGGAATCTCAAGCTATGCAGGGCGTGAGGGCAGACGGTATTTTTGGTGTGAAGGCAAACAAGGTTACACGTGGACAAGTTACGTGGATTACGTACCTGTTCATAGCCTGAATCTTTAATCCTTCCTCAATGCTGTGACTTAGAGCTTGCTGGTTATTGTGCTTGCTGATTCTTGCCAGCACTCTCTCCTGATGAGCTTCATATTCGTCTCGGCTTGGATAAATTTTACTGATGAGAGCATCAAAATTGGGATCTGGTCTCAGCGATCTTTTTGAAACTAGCTTTTTACGACACGTGGGACATTCTTTGTTGCTGGACATGGACAAGAAGGGAGAAGACACTACTAACTCTGGCAGTAAAAAAACTCCGCCCTAACACTGCAATTCTTAGTCAAAGTGCTCACTAAATCTCAATATTTATAGTAAATTTGGAATGAGCTTCTATCTTTTTACAGATCAGGTAGCTCCAGATAGTTAAAAAAAAAACCCAATCATATATCTCCCTGCTTCTTTCTTTCTTTTTTTTTTTTCTTTTTTTTTTTTCTTTTTTTTAAAGTATGTTTAAGCAAACTGTATTTGGACTGAAGAGTTCAAAAGTTCCACTCTGCAAACTGGTTCTTCCCTCTGGCTGGATTTTCCCCTAGAAAAAAATGCACGTCTGGTGGAAATTATATTAATGCATAGTCTTTCTAGAACTCACAGGACAAAACAAAGGTTAAGGAACCTAGTCTGTAGTTCAAGCCCAAATTACTGGGAAAACTGAAACGGTCTTGTCCTTCCTACCATTTTGTTCTCATTTAACTAAAATGTCGGATTCACACAATTTTTTTCCTGTAAGAGGAAGAGGCCTCAATAGCTGAAACACTGGTGTCTTTACTCCTGATGGTTTTCTTGTTTCCCTCTAATGTATTTTTGCTAATTACTCACCCGAATTTACACAGGCACAGCAAATTAAGTTTGACCTCTTGACACAGGTAATTACCATTGTCAGAAATAGATGCATCATTGACTTAACTGCTGTTGGTTACCTCAGAATTGTATTACTTTTAAGAAAATATGAACATGTAACTGAGGAAAACAAGAAAACTTATTTGTACTTTATCATCAGCTGTTGCAGTAGTAAAGCTTGGAAGCAGGACTATGGCTGAAAGGCCACACAATTTCCAATTTTTTATCAGGAAAAGGAAGAGCAAGGGAAATGAGTCTCATTTCTGTAATTAATGTAGTATATTTTCGCTTTGTCGTTACTGGATCTAAAAAAATAAAAGAAAAAAGGACCAAAAAAAAAAAAATAAGGAAAGAGGTTTTCAACTCCTTGCAAGAAACAAAGTTATGGGATGATTACTCACATGAGTTAAAAAACAGATCTAGTCTGCCAGAGATGGCTGAACACACAAGAATGAAGCATGAAAGCTGTGCTACACACTCAGAAACTTGCAGTACACAGGCATGTAACTGTTCCACATCGACACCCAGGACTTAAAGGATTTCCTTGCTCACATTTCATATGAAGTGAAATCCTTTTCCCTGTAATAATATTTACATACCCACTCCTGAGGGCTGTAATGATACAGTCAGCACAGAAGCGATGCAAACATTCTTTTGTCGTCATGGTGTTTTTTAACATATCCAAACAGATGGGACACATCAGCTCACTGTGCAGGCTCCTGGGTGACACCACTATTTCCAAGCCGTCGGTGATTGCTTCCTAGCGTCAAAGAAAGTAAAAATTCTTTAGTGGAGTATAGTAACTTCCTCAGAGACTGCATGCTTTACTATTCTTTTAAAGAGAAACACAGTAAAAAGGCAAGATGTACACAACCACATCAAGCATACACACCCATGCTGCTGAAGAAAGGAAAAAAAGAAATAAAGATCAAACATCTTTTTTTTTTTTTTTTTTTTTTACTATTATGAGAGAGTTTTTGTTATGGAAGGATTTTGTTTTAAGTATTCTATCATTTAGAATAGGCAGCTAACAGTCCTAAAGGAAAAAGAAAATCTTAAACATTCTAGAAAACGCGCCACCATAAGGGCAGCTCTTTAGCATGTACTACCTGAGGCGTTCTTTGCAATTCATACAAACTGAGCTCCCATGTTTTGCTTAGAGGCTGCGTCCCGTTCGTCTGCACGGCTTGAGACATGGCTGGGAAGGCAAAGAGAAAGAGGTTGCACGGACGTACGGACACGGCGATCTCTGTGCCGGCAGCGCAGCCGCACGGGGGGAACGCTCGCTCATCCCAGTGCCGGGCTCCACCGCATTACACACGGCTAATCCCACGCTCCGTGCCACCCCAGAAGAAACTGAGGGGGTCAGTCAGCCATGAACACTTTGCAAAAATCCATTCAGGTTGTCAGACGGGAGCGGGGCAGAACTGAAGGCCATAAAACCTCGGCTGGGTGGTGCAAATGCTACCTGAGGCGGAAAACATTCATAAACCATCCGCTCACAAACGGGCGTAGGGGTCAAGCAGGGCCTACTGCCCAGAATTACCCACGCACACAGAAAACGAGCTGAACACGTTCACTGGAAGCACGCTATAATGCCTTTCAGTCCCCTCCTGAAAATACATCATGAGGGGTTTCCAATCAGAAGTTTAGAGAATACTGAAAGGTCGAGTGACGGGGTAAGTTCAGCCAAGAGGTCCAGCTTTTCTGCGCAACCGTGCTGGCCTTCAGGGGATGGGCACCTGATTCGCCAAGACTTAGGGGGATGGGGGGGAAGTCAGAAGTTTTTAAGTTTCAGAAACCCAAAGCACACACACATTATCAGAGTTTCACTCTTTTTTTTTTTTTTTTTTTTTTTTTTTAATCAGTAGTGGTAGACAGGCATTCCTGGAAAAGGACAGGGCTAGAAATAACTGCACTCAACAGACAACCGATACGCTCCACAATCACTGCTGCAGGATTTGCTTACAGGCAAAGGCATGCATCACCTTTTCATTAAAAAAAAACCCAAGTTTAAATTAAATACACACACACAGAAACACACACAGAAACTGTAATGCTTTCCCATCAAAATTTTGGGATTATTGTACAAGATGAGGCAAAATTACCACACATGGCCTCTGCAGACATGTGAAAAAACGACAGGTCAAAATGACAGAAGAAAAAGATGTTTCTGAACAGAAATCATTTTCACACTGGCGGAGAGGGGGCAGTCCTTCCCCTCTCCAAGAAGGTCTGCCTTGAAGCAGGAAACCTTATCCCAGACTGTGTGATATGTTTAAAAAAATAAATGTAACCATATAAGAGACGAGATTGCAGTTGCAGACATTTCTACCAGGTGGAAAAATCAGAAGTGCTTTCTTCCTTTCTTCTATCACTTCTGTTTAAAACCTAGGTGTGTATTTCCAGATCCTTCAAATCAGCAGCCAAATGCAGATTCTATTGGCATCTACTAGGTACATTATAATCCAGTTTCCAATTCATCCAGTTCCATATGAAAAGGGTCAACCTCTCTAGAGAACAAGGTTCCTTTAGAAGCTTTAATTAATTGTTGAGGGAAAAGCAAGAGAAGCCATGCAGCAAAGATTATTATATCTACCTTTATCCAGGCGCAGAAATTAGTTTTCTCACTTTATGAGAAAAGGAGAAAAAAAAAAAAAAAAAGAGCCTGACAATAGCCACATCTACTATTATGTCTAGTCAAGTAACAAGGGTCTGAAGAGGTGTCAAAAGAAATACTTAGGAGATGACAGACTGTCAACTCCAATTTTTACTATATAAATATTGTGCCTTAAAAATACAGTTTACTTCTCACAAGAGACACATTCCTCCGCGTGGATCAGTAAAGTAAGGCATCCAGTTAGGACTTTACCACCCCATTAAAAGTGATAAGGTCCCACGACCCATGTGCAGACTGTCAGCTCCCAGTCTGGCCAAGCACTGGACTGTCCTGTCAACGTTCTGGGCATTTTATTTAAATTATTCAGAGGTATGAATTTAATGATGGTATTAAGTGACACATCTCAGCAAGGAAGTAATGTTGAAAAGTGTGTTAGTGGCAAAGAAAGGAACTAGTATTTCTCTGTGTTCTAATTTCCACTCTTATTTAAGGTAATTCCAGGCATACAGTAAGTCAAGTCCTTCAATGTAAGGATTTTTGTTACGTGTTGTTGCCAGTCACTTGTTGTAACAGAGGCCCAACATGAATATTCTGTGCCTGCACTGGATGCTACTCCTGAGTGCCTTTAAAGCTGACACATTTAACTATCATTTCACCTACTGAGAGGTGAAGCTGCTCATCATTCACACCCTTCCCAAAATCTGCTGAAGCATACAGTCAGACTGCAGCAGATTAAGGCAACTAAATCCCAGTAAATCCAGCCTCTCTTAACAGAAACCCTGCTCCCAACATTATGCAGCTCCACCGCACTCAAGAGCTCACCTAAGCAGCTCCATAGCAGAGCTCATCGCATGCATGAGTAGTGACTTGCCAAAACTTGCATGCTTACACTTGCTAACCCAAAACGACAGCTCTCCAGGTGCCAGTCTGTCAGCAAACCTATCAATCCAGAAAACAAGTGTATTAACACTATCATTTATATTGCAGCTATGCCTACAAGCCCGAGGCCACACTGCAGAAGACACGGTACAAGTGTCATGATAAATAATTGACCAGCTTTATTCTAAAAGCTTCTAATCTGAGATGCTCAAGTGCTTCATTCTCACCCTAAGGTCTGCAGTGATAGCACTTTCCAATTTTAACAGGAAAACCACTGGCCTTAAAACTGGCTGAAAGCTGGAGGGATCCGCATAGTCCACTTTATCAGTAGCAAGCACCTCTTCTGCCTCTGGTATGTACAACGCCGAAATCTGAAGAGCAGTGGCAACATGGTCAATTCAAACATGCTGAAAAGCATCCCCCCCCCAAAAAAAAAAAACAAAACAATGACAACAACAACAAAAATCACATCACACTACATGGACTTTTTGATCTGCTTGATGATCAATAAATAAGCCTCCTTAGCTTTTTCCCTGTTCCACTGTATTTTCCAGATCTATACTGGGCCTGAAAAATACACGTGAACGAGGCTTGACTTCTCTTCCTTATGATACTGTTGGACATCAGATGCGATTACGTTTCCTCACGCTGCTGAAATCTAATACAGCAGTATCAACAGCTGGCACCGGTATCAAAAAAATCAAACTCTACAATCAGGAGAAGTATTTTGACCTAAAACTGCACTGACCATGTAATAGCCACCAAGGATCAACCAGTAGTCCCCAGACTATAACCAGTAAACCTCTTCTTCAGATGTTCTCATTAATGACTGCATTCACTTGGGGAACAGAGGTAGGAAAAACCTCTGCAGGTCGCTGACTCTCAAGTCAAGCATTACTACTAAGCAGGAGGAGCCTGCACTGGCCCTTTGCTCTCAGGTTTAACAGCAAATAGTTAGGCAGCTATACTGATGCGTGTTTTAAGCAAGCAAGCACTCTTTCTAGGCAGTCATTTTCAAAGCACATCCCAAATAGCACTGCCTAGTTCATTTTCAGGTGTCGCTGATCTCCAGCAGAAAAAGCCCTAATGAGCAAGACATGCCTGGACTGGCCTCCAGCGTCCCCTCTGTTCTTGTGCTGGCTGCGGAGCTGAATTGCTGTGGACAGACCATCTCCAGCTCTCCTTGCCTGGCACAAAGGTGAATTCGACAGAAGGGCTTTTTCTAGCTGTTCTGACAGTGCCAAGACATTCGCAGCCTGTAACAGTAACACAAAATAAGTCCTTAGTTCAGTTTTCTTTTAAGACAGTCCACTGCTACTACATGTGAAGCAGGTATCTGCTAAAAGAAATCCTGGATGGTGCAGGCCAGACTGGCTGATCCTTTCTAAAGCTACAAAATTAGGAAAAGGCTCTCATGAGCCAAAGAAAGACTTCCCCCCCCCCCCCACCCCCCCCCCGTTGTTGACACTTTGTTCAGAGTGAAAAATGTAAAACGGAAAGTTTCTAGGCAGAAGGTACAACAGACTTTTTATTAACTACTACCGGCAAGGGGAGAGAAGATACAGAATAAATATAAAACCTCACATTTATTCTTCAGTCTGGAAATTTATTCCACTGACATCTCATATTCTTAAGATCAGTTGGATCCTCACTGACACAGTTTACTATTCCACTGCATCTCTTTCGGTGGCTTTTTCTTTTTTTAAAAAAAAAAAAAAAGTCTTACGTAACAATGTTTTTGTGCTCTTTTTTCCAAGTAAAATATAAAGCAGATTTCATCACAATGATATCTACTTAAGTTTTCAGCTGTTCAACATTTCAGATCTTTTCCACTTTATAAATGAAGAAGATGGGATCTCTTCTTCACAGGTCACACGTGCTAGCATAAGGAACAACGTCAGAAACCCCCTGTGAGCCTTTTTTCATCATTAAGTTTTTGAAAAAACTTCTAACACACCACAGCTTCATACTTTTTAATAATTTTTTACCTTTATGACTTGTCTATATACCAGGGTGATATGAAGGGGAGAAGCCACATTCCTGTCAGGAGATCAAACATCTCTCTTTCAGAGCCACTAAGAATTACTAGTTGTTGTGACTGATGCTATAGCCAGAGGGCCAACTCTTGTCAGTCATAAAAAAAGAAGAAAAACAACAAAAAAAAAATACAACAAGCCCTAACCAATATAAGAACACCTGCAATCCTTCAGACTGATTCAGTCTTCAAGCACAGTAAAACTCTTAAGCACAAACTTTGTAATTACAGAGTACACACATCTGTCACTACCAAAGCAAGAGCTCACTGGTATAATCAAAAGAACATATTACAATTCTGAGAACCAGAAATGTTATGAATCTGTTCAGGTTTCATTCCCTGAATGAAACAGCATCTGAAAAAAGGGAAACAAGCTAACAGTATTTAGTCATAAAACCTATCTAGTTACTTTGGGTCTTTTATAGAAGAAAACTGGAAGATGAAACAAGGAGATTACTAAATATTATCAGAACGTATAAATTTTCATGTCTTTGTATCCAGGACGTTTCTCAGTTCTCTGCATTGCCAGAACATTGAAAACAAAAGAAAACAAAATCCACCTGTGCTGTCCTTAAGGAACTTTGGAAACTTTTGATCAGCTTTATATAACCAAACTTTATCCACAAGTTGAATAGCTCCCTGACTAGAGCTAGGAGACGAGCCT